CCCCAAAAAAAAAAAAAAAAAAATAAATAAATAAATAAATCCCTGCATGGGCCACTGGCACTACTGTGTGAAATATGGAATGCTAACATGAAAGGTATTCACATTATTGTAGATTGTGGTCAACTTCAAAGAATAGTAAAACCGACCATTTAACACGGACATATATTAAGGGTTTCACCAGGTGAAAGGGGGGGGGGGGCAAAATGTGATAAGTGAAGCATAACATGCAAACTGTATATACGCCGATTTATCGCCCAGATCAGATGTGATTTAGATCATTAGGTACAGAATCTTTGAGCTACTGAACAAAATATAACTGTGTGATTTTGTCAATGTTTTACTATGCAATGCCCATAAATACTCATTACGCACAGCACTGTTTAAAAAATTATTTCTTTGATTTAAGTATAAATCTAGTATAAATCACAGAGACTGAAAAGCTTACTACGGTACTCACCCCATGTTCACCAAGTGAAATCAATGGAAAACCCGACTTCCGTTTTCCTTATTTATCAGATACAGAATATAGTTCAACCTCGGCAGTAAAAAATCCAGATAAAACGTGACTCATTGTGTTTGTTTCACTTGAATTTTCAGTTTCATTGTACCATTTTCAGTTTTCTTGCATATCTGTATAAGTTACGATTACATAACGCTACAGATCCTTACTAAATTTGGGTGCCTTATATTCAATAAAAACAATATTGAGTCTTGTTTTGATCGTAGAGTCCCTCAGGTAGTCCACAACACGCACCTTACGGTCCTACGAANCCCCCACCCCCCCCCCAAAAAAAAAAAAATAAATAAATAAATAAATATATAAATAAATCCCTGCATGGGCCACTGGCACTACTGTGTGAAATATGGAATGCTAACATGAAAGGTATTCACATTATTGTAGATTGTGGTCAACTTCAGAGAATAGTAAAACCGACCATTCAACACGGACATACATTAAGGGTTTCACCAGGTGAAAGGGGGGGGGGGGCAAAATGTGATAAGTGAAGCATAACATGCAAACTGTATATACGCCGATTTATCGCCCAGATCAGATGTGATTTAGATCATTAGGTACAGAATCTTTGAGCTACTGAACAAAATATAACTGTGTGATTTTGTCAATGTTTTACTATGCAATGCCCATAAATACTCATTACGCACAGCACTGTTAAAAAAATTATTTAAGTTATTTCTAGTATAAATCACAGAGACTGAAAAGCTTACTACGGTACTCACCCCATGTTCATCAAGTGAAATCAATGGAAAACCCGACTTCCGTTTTCCTTATCAGATGCGGAATATAGTTCAACCTCGGCAGTAAAAAATCCAGATAAAACGTGACTCATTGTGTTTGTTTCACTTGAATTTTCAGTTTCATTGTACCATTTTCAGTTTTCTTGCATATCTGTATAAGTTACCATTACATAACGCTACAGATCCTTACTAAATTTGGGTGCCTTATATTCAATAAAAACAATATTGAGTCTTGTTTTGATCGTAGAGTCCCTCAGGTAGTCCACAACACGCACCTTACTATGCGAAATACCTTGGATGAGTGAACATTTAGGTCAATGTCAATTTACAAGTTCTCACACAATCCGCTAGATGACAGCATAAATCGACTAGGCCAGATGTTATCAACTCAACTAACACATTTGTCTCGTGCGTAACTTGACTCACTGTTAATTTCTGCATGTACAAATCTTGAGAAATAAATTAAATCAGACTACAGGTAGACTACATAACTATAGTATAACTAACTACATAACTATAGTATAGTATAAATACCAGAAATTTCCTAGATCTTATCATGATATAAGCCTAAGATAAAATGGAATCTTTTTAGATATATTACTGGATTTTTATTCCTTTTTTTTTCAATCTGTTACTGGAATCTATTCTGGTTTATTTTGTCTCCGCGAGAGAGAAGCAACGAAGAATAATTTTTATAGTTTATTGTAGTAGGCCTATATTCATCTGGTGGCAGCTTACACCATAACACGAATACTATGCGTATCTCAGAAGGCGATTTTGGTATGAAATAAATGTCATTTTCAGTTTCATCCCCCCCCCCCCCCCAGCTTAAATACTACTTTGTTTTATGTAGCTTTGGGGTATTTATACAAAATCAACTCAAAAATTTCAGGAATACTTTAGCAAAAACATGAAATCATGCTTTTTTTTTTGTCCAAAATTTCGGGGACATTTAATAATTCACCAGCAATTTCGGTAACTTCACATAATAACTTTGGTTGTAGTCCGTAATTCCTTATAATAAACGTTATAAATGTAAAGTCTAAAGAGGCAAAGTAAATACGTTGGCTTGTTAACTAATTTGATAAAGAAGTTATGTTCAAGAATCCATAGTCAGAATGTACCTGAGCAAGCAACGAGTGAACGTTAAATGATTGAAACTGGTTATTGTTGTCAGCGTTGGATTTCCTCATAGCGATTTACACTTAAATAACCACGGAAAGTAGTATTAACACGTTATTCAGCCTAAAAGTATACAACGGTGTCCGTATTTCGAGCCTGCTTGTAATTTTCATTCATTGCTAAATTTGCGCGGTTCCGGACACACTGAGGGTCATCATTTTGGAACAAAAGGGTTGGAATCTAATATCTCTGTTAACAATTTTGTCTTCACATCTGCTTTTATTAACTGAAATGTCATCTTTTTTCGAAAAAGGTTCTATGTAAAACCGATCGCAATCTCGACCTTAACTAGGAGAGGGTTTAAAATACATGTATGTATATAAAAAAAGCGTCAGTGCTGAATCCAGGTGAAATTGTCGAGCTCGGCTACAGTATCTGTTTTCAGAAGAGTTATACACTAATAATAATAATAATAATAATAATAATAATAATAATAATAATAATAATAATATCTCAGTTCTTAGCAAGACCCCCCGATGTAATTTGCGAAAAAAAAAGAGCAAACAACATTGAGTAAATATTTCCCTTTGAAATAGGTATTAAATTCTACCGTGAATCAATTATAGATTTGTTTGATAGAAAAACGTCATTTTGAATAAGACTGCTCAAATTTCTTGATTTTAAATGGTTGATAAATGATTGAACACAAATGATGTGTGAAAACTAAAAAAAAAAACATTATTTCTGGCGATGAATAGGTACCTACGTCAGTTCGATTTGAAAGACGGCCAGATTGAGAGGCTCTGTCGTTGAAAGCGTTTAATTTTCGATCATACAAATAACAGTTACAAATGCAAAAGAAACATCTTTCTGAGTGAGATTAGTCTCTTTATCTCCATTTTAAAGTCCCGACATCACAAACCTTACTGGGCCTAATTGTTCACCATTTATTCGTCTATCTATTTAATGTAAGTATTAATTCAGCAAAACACAGCAAGAAAGGAACTCTTACCTAATGTGTTAAAGACTGAGCTTAACTAATATCCCATAAGACATTAGACAGGAATATTAACTACCAGTTTATTTGTCTTATCTTTTATCATGATTACACTCCATAAGGTAGATCAAAATGTACTGTAAGTTTATGATAAACTACTGGAAAAAGGCTAAGAAATCTTCTTTACAGACGGGTCCAGAATTTTGCTGGGAAGCCGAGGGGGGAGGGGGGCAGGGATAATGATATTGTCTCACTTTATCCTGCAACTAAAATGGTAGAAAATCTACACCAGGTCAATAATAATTTAATATCGCAGGAATGGAGGCTTCTGATTTCTCTCTCTTTTTACATGTTATATATTTTTCTTTCGAAGGAGGAGGGGGAGAGTAAAAGAGTAAGCGTAAAAGAGTAAGTGTAAAAGAGTAAGCGTAAAAATTGAAAAATACCAAGAAGTCTGCTGCAGTTTAGTGTGTATCGCCGGGTGTACTTGTTTTGTTTCTTTGGCACACAAAAACATAACAAAACAAAAACGTTGGAAACATCTAATAGGGTATATTGATTTCTTGTTTTGGAGATAACATACTTGGTTAAAATAAAAATGTCACATTGTACGCCCTTACTACTGCCCTGAAACATTGTCTTAGTTCACGTAAATTGAGTTGTAAATCAAACAGAGGGTTATTTATTTGTAGGTCCTATTTATAACAGGTTTGCATGAAAGTCAAAAGATGCGATTTCTTAGTAAGTTCTTTAGTAGTTCTTTTTTTTATCAGTTTGCATTATTTGATGTGGATTTTTTACTATAAAAACGCTACGATACAACACCCAAATTCGTTATTTTGTCAAGAGGTTCATACTGTAAACGGGAATGAAAGAGAAATTCAGGCAGTTAACCCCATAAGCCACCGGAGACAGTACAAAAAAGTTTGCCCCGCTGAAAAAAATAAAAAAAAGAAGAAAAAACATGGGACGATTCATGTGCCCACCCCCTTGGATATGACAGAATGCTAAAGTCAGATTATTCACCACCCGTGCACTTACATGTAGTTTATTAAAAAGTAAACGTGAATCTTATCACGGGGAGGATACGCATTGTTCGGAATAGCCTCGAAGTCGCAGCCAGCTTTCGTTGCACATTCCCACACTCACTGCTGTCGACCCGCTATTGACTACGGAGCCAAGTTTTTGAACTCGTGTAAGCTAGCGCATCTTCTTCTTCTCCTGCGGAAGACTCCACCGTAACTCTTTGGACACTTGTCTTATCTCAACCGGGAGCTGAGTGTCATACAATGAGAACAGACAAGCAAAGGCAGGGGATGTTAATTCTGACGAACTTGACATGAATGAAAACTACTGATACTATTACTAGGAAGCTCGGCGGCGTTGCTTATTTCACCGCAACACAATGGCCTCTGTGTATTTCATAGGGGCTTTTCTCCTGCTAACGTTGAGCTCTTTCCTGAGGATAAATTGCAGAGTTATTGCTGGTACGTATGGAAAATAACATTCGATACAAATGCCAAGTAAAATGCAGTGAAGTACACATTTGTTTCAATTGTTGTTTTTTACATTTTTTGGGGGTAGGGGCCTACTCAACTCGACAGTACTGTAGTCCGTGTATATTAGCGACCGTCTTTTGCATTTTCAACTAATGATAACGTTTTGGTACTTACATTGTAATACTTTGACTTTTGTTTTAATACGCATTGCGATACGGACTTGAGATGCTGAAAGGGGTGTGGTTGAGTTAGGGTGGGAGTGGGATGGGTTGTGAATAGGTGCATCAGCTGGTTTATCTTTGAAAATAACATTAAAATACATTCTCTCTGTCTCTCTCTCTCTCTTTATTGACTTTCAAGCTTGTTTATATTTTGGATCTAACAGAACAANAGGCTTCTGATTTCTCTCTCTTTTTACATGTTATATATTTTTCTTTCGAAGGAGGAGGGGGAGAGTAAAAGAGTAAGCGTAAAAGAGTAAGTGTAAAAGAGTAAGCGTAAAAATTGAAAAATACCAAGAAGTCTGCTGCAGTTTAGTGTGTATCGCCGGGTGTACTTGTTTTGTTTCTTTGGCACACAAAAACATAACAAAACAAAAACGTTGGAAACATCTAATAGGGTATATTGATTTCTTGTTTTGGAGATAACATACTTGGTTAAAATAAAAATGTCACATTGTACGCCCTAACTACTGCCTAGAAACATTGTCTTAGTTCACGTAAATTGAGTTGTAAATCAAACGGAGAGGGTTATTTATTTGTAGGTCCTATTTATAACAGGTTTGCATGAAAGTCAAAAGATGCGATTTCTTAGTAAGTTCTTTAGTAGTTCTTTTTTATCAGTTTGCATTATTTGATGTGGATTTTTTATTATAAAAACGCTACGATACAACACCCAAATTCGTTATTTTGTCAAGAGGCTCATACTGTAAACGGGAATGAAAGAGAAATTCAGGCAGTTAACCCCATAAGCCACCGGAGACAGTACAAAAAAGTTTGCCCAGCTGAAAAAAAGAAAAAAAGAAGAAAAAACATGGGACGATTCATGTACCCACCCCCTTGGATATGACAGAATGCTAAAGTCAGATTATTCACCACCCGTGCACTTAGTTTATTAAAAGTAAACGTGAATCTTATCACGGGGAGGATACGCATTGTTCGGAATAGTCTCGAAGTCGCAGCCAGCTTTCGTTGCACATTCCCACACTCACTGCTGTCGACCCGCTATGACTACGGAGCCAAGTTTTTGAACTCGTGTAAGCTAGCGCATCTTCTTCTTCTCCTGCGGAAGACTCCACCGTAACTCTTTGGACACTTGTCTTATCTCAACCGGGAGCTGAGTGTCATACAATGAGAACAGACAAGCAAAGGCAGGAGATGTTAATTCTGACGAACTTGACATGAATGAAAACTACTGATACTATTACTAGGAAGCTCGGCGGCGTTGCTTATTTCACCGCAACACAATGGCCTCTGTGTATTTCATAGGGGCTTTTCTCCTGCTAACGTTGAGCTCTTTCCTGAGGATAAATTGCAGAGTTATTGCTGGTACGTATGGAAAATAACATTCGATACAAATGCCAAGTAAAATGCAGTGAAGTACACATTTGTTTCAATTGTTGTTTTTTTACATTTTTGGGGGGTAGGGGCCTACTCAACTCGACAGTACTGTAGTCCGTGTATATTAGCGACCGTCTTTTGCATTTTCAACTAATGATAACGTTTTGGTACTTACATTGTAATACTTTGACTTTTGTTTTAATACGCATTGCGATACGGACTTGAGATGCTGAAAGGGGTGTGGTTGAGTTATGGTGGGAGTGGGGTGGGGTGTGAATAGGTGCATCAGCTGGTTTATCTTTGAAAATAACATTGAAATACATTCTCTCTGTCTCCCTCTCCCTTAATTGACTTTCAAGCTTGTTTATATTTTGGATCTAACAGAACAAGTATTTCCTAAAGATAATATTTCATAGTATTAATCTACAGGGCCAAAACAAAAGCTTTGCCTATTCCAGCCTCAAAAAAGAGGTAAAACATCCAAACCATTATTTGTAGCCAAATGTTAACAACTTACACTAAACTAACCTCATAGGTGCTTGCCAAAACAGATTTCACACAAAAAATTATTTGCTGTAGTTGAAGTCAATTTTAGTAAAAAAAAAATAAATAGTAAAATATATATATGTAAATGATTGCATATTTGAAATTTTTTCCAATCCCTTTTGAGAATTTATTTAACTGAAATAAGTATGAAAAGTTTTTTTTTGAAATGGCTCCAAAACATGGGGACCTACTTGTATGCTAAGAATATGTTTTATACTTTCATTAAGTTTACACATTTAAATATTTTATTTTCAATTTTATTAGCAAACAAGAACAACCTTCCCATAGTTTATTTAGTTTGTAACTCTGTACCATGAAGTTTTATTATGTTTACTTTGCGTAACTTATGATATCTCTGACATGATGTGATATATTTGCTGTTTGAAATGGAAAGGTTTATAGTACACAGTAATAACATTTAAGTTGCTGTTTATTATATGACAAAGGGAAAACCGTACATTTTAATAGCTATTAAGGAATCATTTATTGATAAACTGTTTAGTGACAATTTTTACTTCTATAATATGAAAACTGCCCCAATATATATATATATATATAATGCACTCTGCCACAAATGAGAGTATTTAACTAGAATTATGCCAGACTAGTTTATATAGTCATATTAACTTCACACGTGTTGAAGCACACTAGTTAATCACTTCAAGTGGATCCTTATCTGTTAACAAACAATGTTGGGATAAAGAACTCTAGTTGCTTATCACTTAGGTAATTGCTGAATAATTGGAATTAATGACCTATTGATTAGACTTTGAAGAAGGTATTTTTGGTTATTGAAAAAGGGCATTTTTTAAGTCTCCAAACAACTTAAAATCTCAGCTATTAGCTTTTTATCATTGCACAATTTCAAATAATAGCAAGACATTCAAGTCTGTAGAGGCTTTTTAAAGTTGATTGCTTTCTTGTGAACATATTTGATTGTGGCACTTAGTAAATTGAATTTTCTTACAATTCTTGATGAATTGTACTGTGGAAAAATGTCATGTGGGCCTTGAACTGCAGAAAGGTATGACCTTGTGCAAGTGTATAGAATTGCTTATTTGATATATTATTACTGGACCATCAAATGTTAAATGTAAAGAATTATTTTTCAAATGGTCAACATTTCACTTTTAAAGATACACACAGATTTTGTTATCACAAAGTGGGCACTTTAAGTGTCCTTGTGTGTAATAATTGACTTGCAGATATATAATACACATCTAAAATAAATGTTAACTCAAGCCCAAACAAATTTACATGTCCAGTTAAAAGTTGGTGCTGGAAGGAAAATGCTGTTAATATTTATTGGTCACCAGGAAGTAACAGGATGCATTCCTCAGGTGAAAACTAGCCTTCAGAAAGACTATTGAAGATATAAATCAATTTCTTTGTCAGATTGCTGAATGAGGGCCATTTTGTATGTCCACATTTCCCAATGCCTAGGACAAGATGGTAAATATAATGTGGATGTTTGCAAATGTAGAAAATCAAGATATTAGCCAACTGTCTGTCTAGGTGAAGACAGTTTCTTTCCTAACTCAAAGGTGGATTGTTTACTTAATTAAAGTAGTTGTTTACCCAGTGCCAACATAAGTGGTGTTTGTACACACTACTCTATAAAACTGGATACAAAAGACAGCTAGTTCATACCCTGGCATTGCTGACAGAAATTGGTGTTTATGATTGCAGGGCCCCTACAGCTGTAGTAATTTGAAAAATTCCCACAATTCACATGTGAATATCAGAAAAAAGGGCATTGGATCATGGTTGTCTGATTCTAGTTTGTATTCAAGGAAGCATTAACATGGTTTATAGCTATTTGATTTCTAAATAAGCTAAACAAAAAGAGATTGTGATTTGTAATGGTGTGATATTGGAAATATGAGGCTATGAAATACATGTAAGGCTCACTGGAAAGGATCAATGCACAGTTTCATTTTGAAGAATCGTGATACAGATCTATATATAGGTGTTTTGATCAGAAGTACATGTGCACATAACCACAAAGTTCTTAAGTCTTCTAAAAAACTTCCGTGTTCCCTTATAAAGTGGGTAGTATAACAAAGCTTATGCTGTAGTTCAACTGCCCCTTTTCAGAGTAGACATTGTTTTCTTGTTGCCATGACTTAAGTTTATTACACTTTTCAAACATAGTAAATGGGTTAAATGTTTTGAAGTAAAACTTGGACCTTGGAAGTATATGTATCCAGTTACTTGTATTTGATATTGTGTCCTCATTTTTCTTAGGGTATTGAATGTAAAAATATTACATTCATCAAAAGAGTACATTCAGAATTGTGGAATTAAAAGTAAACATCAGCAGTACTTAAATCAAGTGTCCATTTGGACCAGTTAAAGGAAAGTTTTTTAAAGAGTAATAGTAGTACATATATAGAGTAGGAAGAACAATTAGTGGGTCTGCTGGAGCAAATTTAGATATTTTTACCCATGATTGTGTGGGAAATTTATATGTAAAATTAAACTGGAGCATCTTAAAATAGTCATATTGCCTGATTGATTAAGTGCAGTTTAAAATGTTGTTTGATTCCATGGTACACCAGCTGATAAAAATCCTAGATGTTTGTTAAGGATCAAAACTTTGAAGTGAAGTAATGTTGACATAAACGATTAATAGTGATTAGGATGATAATATTCATATTAAGATAGTTGCAACAACAATAATGATGATAAAAGATCGGTTGTCATAATATCTGCTCAAATTATTGACCACTGGAGGTATGTGTTATGAAAAATTAATATGTATGCGCAGCAGAGATGGTGATACATACAGTTATTTGCAGCAAGTAAAGATTCACCATGGTGTTTGAGTTCTACAATCAATTATTATTGATTGTTATCATGAATTCAAAATTCATTCAAGGAAATGCAATGCTGCAGTGTTTTCATGGAATTATAAGAGTGAAATTGACATTTGGTATTTTATGTGATTTAGGAAAAGTATTCAAAACACTAACAACATTTTATGGCATTTGAGTATCTTGCAACAAAATATCACAGCCTGTGCCTTAAAAAATTTGAACTATGAAAGAGAACACCACCCTTTTATAGTGAAGCCAAATAAATTGAAAGAAAAATATTTGGATGGTACTGATTTGAGACAAGGTTATTTTAACTTTTCCAATATACACAAGATTTTGTTTTGCTCTGAATTACTTATGAAAATATACGGTGATTTGTTATATCAAATTTTTAATGAAGGACGATAATATTCATATTTTTAATTTTTTTATTTTTAATGAAAATGGGGTTATTTTCACTTCCCTCTCCAAAATACACAAGATTTTGTTTTTGTTTTGTTTTGCAAGACTTGTAGAAAATTATGGTGATTTATTCTTTTTTCAGCCACTCCTTTGACTTCAGCTATTCGCCATTATGAGCCATTATATTATGATGTAGAAAGCCTTCATGCAGAACATCACAGAGTGAAGAGATCCAGCCAGAAAAATATTGTATGGGAACTCTCAGCACATGGAAAGTAAGATCCTGTTCCAAGCCATTTGCCAACTTTCCCTATCACAGCAATAAATACTGGATGTTTTAGTGAGACTTACCTAGATTAAAAAAAAATACTTGGAAAAGCAATATTTTACAAAATAACTATTGCTTTTGTTTTATGTTGTGAAAAGTAAGAGTATTGCCAGGAGAAAAAAAAAAGAGCTAGAAGCTATGTTATTTATTATGAGATGATTAAATGGCTCTTAGGGATGAGTTAGAATTTCACCCAAAGGAAAAAATATTCAATATTGAAAAAAAAAGTAAGAGAAAAAAGCAACAAAAGCAAATTTCCAGAAAACAATTAAAATTTTTGAATTGTGTAGTTGAAAAAATATTTTTTTAAAAATTTGTTTACAGAAAAATGAAGATTATTTTGAAAAGGGATACCTCCATCTTCACCAATGACCTAGTTGTGGAGACATCAGAGGGACCTGTACATTGGGACATTTCCAGAGTGTATGTGGGACATGTATTAGGTAAGGTGCAACAATAAAATTTTTTAATTTTTTCATCAATTCGTGTATATTGAGAAAAGATAGAGTTTGGACAATTCTTCTGCAAAATATAAGTACATTTTACATTGAAGCATATCCCGAATTTATTTATTTATTTATTTTTTATTTATTTATTTTTTAATTAAGTTTTTGTAGTAGATAAGAATAGGTTTTTCTCACCAGCCTTGTACAGGAGCCATTTTCATTCAACAGTTTCATATCAATATTTGTAGAAGACCATGTAAAAAAGGACTGATATAAACAGATGTAACCAGTCCAAAGCATATTCTTTATCCTTATTTTTCACTTTAAAGGGATTGCTTTAATGTCAATATCTATAGTATGCTTAAGCAGAGGTCTTCTCACACAAAGTTATTTTATGTATTTTTATTTTGTCATCTTTAAGCCTTTCCTGAATCAAATCCTTTTAACAAATCTCTTTTTAAGTCTGACGTGTCTGATGTTTTATGAGATTCTGGAAACTTTTAATCAAAAATACCAATTTATATTTATGCTCAGTTATTTAACTTCACATTTGCTTTAAATCTGATGGATTTAAAACAAGGACAGCAGATTTATACCAAGAGGAACATGTTTGTTTAGTGGATTTTGTTGTGCCAAGTTTATCATTTAGCTGCAGGATGGAGCTTGAAAATGGAAAAATGCTTAATGGCCATTTGGATTACCGTTGATAGCCAGTGTTTGAGATAAGTCCTGCGATAATACGGTCATTTATTATCAGGTTTTTCATTTCTCTGTCATTAAACTGTGGTTGAGCAGTATGGTAAGCTGTGGTTCAATATTGGTTTAAGCTTATTGTGCTTTTGTTGTGACTGTAATAATATTGTGTCTGCAACAATTTAAAAGACCACCTAGGCATTTTTTCTTCTTTTCCCTGTAGATCGATTAACAAAGAGACAAAAAGGCTATTCATATCAGATTGTTTCTGTAGATCGCGGTGCTCTTAACAAATTATTTATTATGGTAAAGACTAGATTTTTTCAATGGGTAAAATTGTGAATTTTACAGATACTTTTTTTAAATCATGAATTATTAAAAGTATAACATTTTGAGTGAGTGATAGCAAAAAAAAAAAATGAAAAACAGGATAGTCTGTAGTTCTATTTTGTATAGTAAAAACATATAAAGCATAATTGCTGTTTTCTAATACAAGCCTTAGATTTTGGAACACAAATGCACAAATTAACCATCCCATTCACAAATTAACTTCCCCAACGTAGAATTACTTGACACGAGCTTAGTGTTTCAAAGCATGCACAATTTGGCCAGCAACTTGGCCACAATTTTTTCACCTGCTACACCTGTCGCCTACGAGGGACGATACCCGAATGACAGGTTGAGCTCACGGTCGTTGTACAAAATTTGTCCCAGGTATAATACTATGAAATGCATACTAATACACACTTTGAATACAGGTAGCTGACTCCTATCTACCGGTGAATTCAGGATCATTTGCCTGGTAGTTGGGAGGCCTGTAGTCTGGTAGTTGGGTAGGCCTGGCTGTGGCAAGTAATTATATGTTGGGTTAGTTAATTGGTGACTGGAGTCTTTAATTTTGGCATTTGTTCTTCCAAATCTGAGACTTATGTTAAAAAACACCTAATCTTATAAGGGCTGCCAATGCTATATAGAAATATATATATTTTTGTGATATCAACATTTTTTACCCGAACAATTAATAATGAAAGCTTTAGCTGTTAATCAAATAAAGATTGTACAGCTGCTAACTCCTTGGTCAAATGAAATGAGAAACTAAGGATGACACAACGCCGGCCGGCCAGTGCCAACAGGGATTCCTGGTGCCAGGTGGAGTGGCCTATCAGCCCACCTGTGTGATTTTTTTAAATAGACTTATAGACTAATTCTTTTCGTATTGTGTCTTATATCATAAATTGGTGACTCTAAGTAATATATCTTGTCTTTCACAAAATCAACAGGCATAGTGATAGTGCAAACAGTACTATAAAGTTCCCTTTGATATCTCAGTGTAGCTACTCGTTACACAACAAAAAAAATTGCTCCTGCACTAGCCAGGTTTTTGAGATACTGACAATCGAGGCTTGAAATTGTTCTGTGTCAATACACCAAAAGTAAGTCACTTGTGCTGTCCCACTTTTGTTTACATTGATTTCTTCCTAAGAATCCATGATATGCTTAAGAGTATTTCCACTCCAAAGCATCTCCTATTTTGATAGTGACATTAATGTATGGTCACAAAGTGCAAGGATGGGAGTTTTTCTTTTTTTTTTCTTGGGTTTTGTCCTATTTTGTGTGTGTTTTTACTCAAAAAAGCTTTGAAGTTTTGAAAGTTAGTGCATTCTGCATAAATTATTTTAAAACAGTGATAGTTCAAATGGAAGTGGGGGGATTTTCTTGTATTTCAGCAGTCTCTGTTTCCATTCCTGATAGCTTTAACTGCTCCATAGAAATATTGATTTTGTCCCCACTACCATGCACCATTGAAATGGATTATTTATAGATATAAACCATTTCAGAACCTTTTCAATACCTTAACTTCTTGCATTATGTATGGGTGGGTTGTTTGGCAAGTGCTAGATTGATTTATGGTTTGTTCTTGAAAATGTGAATCAATGCAGGAAGGGGATTCATACTTGGATAATAGAAACTCTTAGAGCTTAAAGATTCACAGTACTTTTAATGAACTGTATGAATTCCCATTGTTTTTCACATATTGCTATTAAGAGGCACATTTATGAGAACTGTTTATGCTTATGGCAGTGCAAATCAATACTGAGAGGAAAATTATACCTGGAGAATGCAGAACATTTCAAATCCCTGGATCTTAAATTGGCAGTCATTTAAATTTTTTTAAATATTACACTGTGTAGTAAAACATGATCACCATTGTATGGGCAAAATATTTAAGGCTGGGCCCTTAAGTGCCATTAGACATAAAAAATTCTATAAATTTAGACTGTTTTGACAGCTGTAAACATTGGACCTTAGTTAATAGAATGTTGATAAAGGTTATTACACAGTTCATTTTATTTTACTGTTGATAAGCAGGGTTTCTGTTTTCACATTATTTACGGGTCCTTGATGCATTTTTGCAATTTTCTTTTAGGAACCGCAGTGTTTTAGAAACAAACTGTCAGACTTTCATTTAGGATTTCCAGATAACCCAAGTTGAAAATTAATTGGAGGCATTAATGGCAAAAAGTTAAAAGCTTATGAATAAGCATTATGAATCTTTTCCTTTCGTGTTTCTGCTTAAAANATGAAATATTATATATTTTGGCACATAATTTGCACAATTTATGCTAATTAATGTATCGATAGAGGGCGTCTCTTTGGATAAAAAATTTTCTTTTGGCCCAAGGAACATTTATGCCAAGTTAGACATTTGTACTACAAAATGCAGCGTTTGGCCATTTTTTGGTCCTTAACAAGCCTACTATTGAGGTCTTAAGATTCTTTGTGAAACGGGGCCTGCTCGGTAAACATGCACTTAGTATTCAGTTGGCATGGTCACGTTTCAAAATGTAAAAAAACAACCTATTGCACTGCAATAAAACTATATAGCAACAAGGCGCCATGCTCTTGTCGTCCTCTGTACTACCATCAAAACAAAGTGTGTTTTTTTTTTCTGATTAGGCGCCAGGTGTAATAATTGTCTCATTTTAGTGCCCAGTTCTAGTTTTCTAAAAAACTTTGTTGTCTCAAAGAACGTGTTCACGGAGGAAATGTAAATATTTTACGAGCGCAGGTTAAGGCATTATGGTCCACCATGGCTGCACTTAGACAACAGCTTTTTCCTTCAAGTCTGCGTTGAGGTCCCTGTTTTCATTAAGATTTTTGTTCCGATTTCATACATTCCAGCTTATTTTGAAACAAAGCAATTGCAGAATTTGGTTCCAATTATTCCGCGCTCTGCAATTTCTTTCATACGGGTAAGTTATTGACCTTTTTTATTTGGAGAGCAAGGACAATCTTAGGAAGCGGTGTTTGAACGCGGCCGGTGAGGCTACAAACTTCCCCTCAATCAAGACAAATGTCACATGTATCTTGCACTAGACTGTCATTAAATTCGTCTTTGGCGGTTACATTGGCCATTGGCAATAACAACACAATAGGTATGGCAGCAGCGCATCCGTTCTTACTATTATAAAAGACAGCGCGGTTATAATTTACGTTATACAGATCCAACGCTGAAACCAATATGAAGCGATTCTGTGCACTCATTCTGGTTGCTGCTATGTTGCTGAACGAGTGGTGTGTGGTTAACTCTCTTCTCCGGAGTAGTGGTAAGTTATTGATAATTGTATTCCATAAACTGTCGATGAATAGGGCAATTAATGCACAATATGATAAACCGTGTACCTTGACCGTCATATATACATCCATGGTATCACTGTAAGTCATTTACCTAGTTGTAGCCAATGGTGCCTTTTCCGGATTTACTGTTTTCCCTAAATAATGGAAACTTTAAAATAAACACCGTTTCTTGGTGCCTGTATTATGACAATTACGTGATTACAAGCTTTTTTTAACACGTAGGCACTCAAACTCCTTATTGTTCTGCCCTTGAAACTCAGCCTTGGGGTTTACACATGTCTCATGCTTATTTATTTCTTTAGTCATTTTAATTGTGCATAAATACTCCGGACTGTTGAGCACTCTGTCTGTACCACACGGACGCTTGTTATATATATATATATATATATATATATATATATATACTATCAATTATTCTATCAACAAGGGACATCAACGACGGGAAGTGACCTGTCTGACATCTTACGTAAGATTGTGTCTACCTGTACCACCGAGGAAACCGACTGCAATAATCCTGCTCTTGATATTGTCTTCGCATTGGACAGTAGTTCGAGCATTAATGATTCTGAGTTTTTCAGGCAGAAAAATGCCACAAAGGTAAATAGTGCTTTGATAACCCTGAATCCAATATATATATATATATATATATATATATATATATATAATCTTAGTTTTACTTCGAATTCAAAATGTAAACAGCATCTAAAGAAGTTTTACTGATATAGGTATTCAACTCCCTCTTCTACACGTAAGTGATCTTATCATGGGCCATTTCTAATGTGTTTAATTATTATTATACGTTAAAAAAGAAATACATCTGGCGAGCATTGTCCCATTTTTATTTTGATCTGATACAGCGTGGTTTAATTGTAACCGTATTTTGCGCAGTTATATAGGCAAAGTGAGATTACAATGGTTCTTCTTAGGCAGGCTTAGGGACCATTCCCAAACCCTATCGTACTAACTGTGAATTGATCTATTTCCAATGGAATTCTCGCTAAATTGCAGAAACGGTTTTAGAGAAACTCCTTGCAGATAGATAGATCCAGTTAGATCGATCTAGGTATGAGAATCCAGTCTTATACTCTGCGTCCGTTATAATACACAGTTTACAAAGCGTGATAGAGCCACAATCTGTCAAAATAAATATTTTTGGTTTGACACCAACATATTTGGTTTTATGTATGATAAACATGCCATCATCTTAGTATTGTGTATCAGGCCTACCCAACTANTCATATAGCAACTATAAATACACACTTTGAAAACAGGTAGCTGACTCCTATCTACCAGTGAATTCAGGATCATTTGCCTGGTAGTTGGGAGGCCTGTAGTCTGGTAGTTGGGTAGGCCTGGCTGTGGCAAGTAATTATATGTTGGGTTAGTTAATTGGTGACTGGAGTCTTTAATTTTGGCATTTGTACTTCCAAATCTGAGACTTATGTTAAAAAACACCTAGTCTTATAAGGGCTGCCAATGCTATATAGAAATATATATTTTTTGTGATATCAACATTTTTTACCTGAAAAATTAATAATGAAAGTTTTAGCTGTTAATGAAATAAAGAATGTACATCTGCTAACTCCTTGGTCAAATGAAATGAGAAACTTTGGGTGACACAATGCCGGCCGGCCAGTGCCAACAGGGATTCCTGGTGCTAGGTGGAGCAGCCTACAGGCCTACCCAACTACCAGACTCAGCACCTAAGGATCCTGAATTTACCGGTATATCAGACCACACTACCCGTTTTCAAGGTGTGTGTCAGATCGCATTTCGGAGTATCATACCTCAGAACAAATTTTGTAGGCCGACCCTGGGCTCATCCATGCTCGGCTGTCACCTTGATTGGATAGTAGGCCTAAACGATTGTCGTAAAATTGCTGTATGATTTTAAAACCAGGTGCATAAATTTGAAAACCACCTAGAACAACCTTAGACTGTACTCTTACTTTAGAGTACTCTATTTTATTGTCTCTATGGGGGTATATGGGAACTTTACGACATTCGGTTTGAATGGTTAAACCACTTTTATTGGGGCTTTTTTGCATTGTATTAGATTAATGTGGCAGTCTAAGGTTGTTCTAGGTGGTTTTCAATTTTATGCACCTGGCTTTAAAATCATATAGCAATTTTACGACAATCGTTTACTATCCAATCAAGGTGACAGCCGAGCGTGGGCTCATCCTGTCAGTGTTCTGACTGATACTCCGAAATGCGATCTGACACACACCTTGAACACTGGTAGTGTGGTCCGATATACTGGTTAATTCAGGATCCTTAGGTGCCGAGTCTGGTAGTTGGGTAGGCCTGAGCCTAGCAGCCCACCTGTGTGATTTATTTAAGTAGACTTATGATTAATTCTTTTCGTATTGTGTCTTATATCATAAATTGGTGACTCTAAGTAATATCTTGTCTCTCACAAGATCAACAGGCATAGTGATAGTGCAAACGGTACTGTAAAGTTCCCTTTGATATCTCAGTGTAGCTACTCGTTACACAACAAAAAAATTGTTCCTGCACTAGCCAGGTTTTTGAGATACTGATAATCGAGGCTTGAAATTGTTCTGTGTCAATACTCCAAAAGTAAGTCGCTTGTGTTGTCCCACTTTTGTTTACATTGATTTCTTCCTTACAATCCATGATATGCTTAAGAGCATTTCCACTTCAAAGCATCTCCTATTTTGATAGTGACATTTATATATGGTCACAAAGTGCAAGGATGGGAGTTTTTCTCATTTTTCTTTCTTGGATTTTCTCCTATTTTGTGTGTGTTTTTTCCCCCCCCCCCCCCCCCCCCCAAAAAAAAAAAGCTTTGAAGTTTTGAAAGTTAGTTGAATCTGCATATATTATTAAAAAAAAGTGATTGTTCAAAGGGAAGTGGGAGGATTTTCTTTCATTTCAACAGTCTGTGTTCCCATTCCTGATAGCTTTAACTGCTCCGTAGAAATATTGATTTTGTCCCCACTACCATGCACCATTGAAATGGATTATTTATAGATATAAACCATTTCAGAACCTTTTCAATACCTTAACTTCTTGCATTATGTATGGGTGGGTTGTTTGGCGAGTGCTAGATTGATTTATGGTTTGTTCTTGAAAATGTGAATCAATGCAGGAAGAGGATTCATACTTGGATAATAGAAACTCTTAGAACTTAAAGATTCACAGTACTTTTAATGAACTGCATGAATCCCCATTGTTTTTCACATATTGCTATTAAGAGGCACATTTATGAGAACTGTTTATGCTTATGGCAGTGCAAATCAATACTGAGAGGAAAATTATACCTGGAGAATACAGAACATTTCAAATCCCTGGATCTTAAATTGGCAGTCATTTAAATTTTTTTAAATATTACACTGTGTAGTAAAACATGATCACCATTGTATGGGCAAAATATTTAAGGCTGGGCCCTTAAGTGCCATTAGACATAAAAAATTCTATAAATTTAGACTGTTTTGACAGCTGTAAACATTGGACCTTAGTTAATAGAATGTTGATAAAGGTTATTACACAGTTCATTTTATTTTACTGTTGATAAGCAGGGTTTCTGTTTTCACATTATTTACGGGTCCTTGATGCATTTTTGCATTTTTTTTAGGAACCGCAGTGTTTTAGATTCAACAAACTTTCAGACTTTCATTTGGGATTTCCAGATAACCCAAGCTGAAAAGTAATTGGAGGCATTAATGGCAAAAAGTTAAAAGCTTATGAATAAGCATTATGAATCTTTTCCTTTCGTGTTTCTGCTTAAAATTACCAATTACCTTATTTATTTTAGATGATGACACTTCCTATGTCCATGGAGTGATAACAAAAGATGGCCTCTTTGAGGGAAAAATAACCACCAAAGATGACCAGTACATGATAGAGCAATCCAAACGTTTTTTCAAAGACCCTCAGAAATTCCATTCTGTTATATATAAAGCAGGTGATGTGAAGGATTTTGAACAGGGGTGTAAATCAAAAGCATTGTTGCAAAAAATTCAAAGTAAACTAAAACCCGAAGGAGTTGACAGGCCACAGTCAGAAATGAGTGTTGAAGGAAATTTCCATGATCATAAGGATTTTGATGAAAAAGACAAATATACCAAAGTGTATCAGCGTTTTAAGAGGACTATAGTTCCGTCCAAGACTGAATGTGCGATATACATGCAAGCTGATCATTTGTACTATCAGAAACAAAACAGTGATGTGCATGCAGTGATTGAACAGATCACAAATCACGTCCAGGCTGTCAATCAGATCTATGCATCTATTGGTAAGTACAAATCTGCTTTTAATTTTCTTTTTTATTGTGATTTACTGTATAAAAAGCCTGTAAATTAAGATTTTTTGTTTGCTTGATCTAAATAAAGAATTTTCTTTAAATTGTTGCTTACTTTGTAGAATTTTGTTTAATTGCTCCATTTATGTATATATTTTTTCTTTTTTAGAATTAAATCATTAGTTGATTAGGTTAACAAGTTAATGGCTCTTTTCAGACTTTGACTCTAATGGATCACCTGATGGTATCAATATGAAAATCAAGAGAATAAAAGTCCACACTGACCCCAATGCAATAGGGTATAAATTTGATGGAAACTATGGCGTGGAAAAATTTCTTCAGAAGTTTTCAGAGGATAACTACACTTCATATTGTCTTGCCTATATGATGACACACAGAGATTTCAATGACGGGACCCTTGGGTTGGCTTGGACAGGGAATTTGACTCTGGCTGGGGGTGTTTGTGAAAAATATGCAGTAAGTATTCACAGGAAGTGGATGCATGATTATATCTTTTATTATTTATTGGTAACCATATTATAATCTAAAATACCATTGGGTTTGTATATTTTCTTACTGATTTGATTTCAACAAAAATTATAGCCATATCTCATCTATCTCCATTACGTTACATACTATTTGATTTTTGCAATTAAAAAATTTCAAACATGGCGTATTTAAATCAAGTAGTGGTTATCAGTTATGCTACTCATGTTATTCTTCTGCATAAAATAACTCTCCTGTGCCATAAGAATTTATTCAAGACAATAAATAAGTATTTAGTCTTTTCATTTCAGATGTTTTCAGGAAGTTATGCCAAATTGTTTTTAAATCTTCTCATTTCAGATATTTTCTGGAAGTTATGCCAGTCTCAATACAGGGATTGTCACCACACTGAATATGGGCAGTGATGTCCCTCCCATTGTCTCCCATGTCACATTGGCCCATGAGATAGGACATAACATGGGATCAGATGTATGGAGATTTATGAAAAAAATTTTCTTCAACTAATTGAAATTTGTTCAAATACAGTACAAATATATGTGCTATGGAAGATATTTATATTTCAGTCATTAGTGGCATAAAGATAGTGCTTTTATGGCATAGCTTTTAGGTTTCTTTACAAATATTTTGACACAGCCATCAACATTTCTCATCCTGTACATGTTGTCATACAACCATTTACATGTTGCATTTAGATAAATAAGATTCAAAAAGGTTTTAAAAAATTATTATAGTATTTTTTTAAATTTATTTTAGTATTATATATTCAGTTAATTAACTGTGTTTTTTTAAATATATTTCAGCAATGTATATTTGATGAGATTAGTATATTTAGATGTTATTTATTTTAGCATGACCCGGAAACCAACAGTAGCTGTGTCCCAGGGAATCCAAATGGGAATTTTATTATGTATGCAAGGTCCACATCTGGAGACAAGACCAATAACAACCGGTTCAGCCCCTGCAGCATAGCCATGATGGGGCCAGTCATGGAGAAAAAGGCGAGAGGGACAGATGGCTGCTTTACTGGTAAGATGATTTCACATCATGATTTTTAGATATTATTTAGGTGCATATAACAAATATTAAAAATGTTGATGTTGACCTTGTATGATTTGAAAGCTAAATATGTCTTTTGATAACTTAAAAGAATAAATGGTGTATTTAAAGGGTTTCTTTTCATAAGTAAATTTGAGTTTTTACTGTAATTTAAGTCATGAAGTTTGGAAAATACATTGTAATTGATTATTTATTTATTTATTTATTTATTTATTTATTATTTTTACATATGTTAAGATATAATTGGGTGAATTTAACATAGAGTTATGGGTAGATAGATTTCTTTAAAAGTTTGTGACCTGACAACACAATCCATATAAGCAAGTAATTCATGGCCTTCAGTGCACCAAGTGAATAGAAATCAAGGTCTTCTGTATGATTAACTGAACATTTACAGCACCAACTGCTAACATCTGTGGCAATGAAATTGTGGAAACTGGTGAAGAATGTGACTGTGGTTGGGACAGCCAGTGCACTGACCGTTGTTGTAATAAACAGTCAGACAACCCCGCTGCTGGAGAGACGCCATGTACCTTAAAGAAGAACATAGCAGAATTAGGAGGCATAAATGCTACTTGCAGGTGTGGATTTTTTTTCTTTTGTACAATAAATGTGTTCAAACCACAAATGAACTTACTTTAACCAAAAATAGACTAAGTACATGATTGCTTATTGCTTGAAGTGGAAGGAAAAGTGTGATGTTGTGATGATCTTGTCTTCTCGTGATGTTAGTTGAACTGTTTTTGGTTTCTGAGTTAGTCTGGTTCTGAATGCAAGCTACAATATGAACTTACATGCTCTGAAGATTGCACTCACTGTTATGGACAGTGTCATGTTGATGTTTTTGTCAGGATTACGTTTATTTTATTTCTTCTTTTTGCTCCTTTCTTTCTCATTGTCTGCAAGGTGGTTAAAAAAATACAAGCAGTAAGTAGAGTGTGATACTTTTAATTTTTTTTTTCAAGTTAGAAGATATATGTTACTAAAGTTGTAAAGTAAATAAAATGAAAAGGTGTTGAAATCTGAGTGATATTTGTTTCATGACATATTTCTATTTTAGTCCAAGTCAGGGTTCATGTTGTTCGGCGGACACCTGTGACCTTGTGACTGCCGCAGAAAACAAGACTTGCAGAGCTGCTGGAGAATGCAGTGAAGCTTCCTACTGCAAATATCCTTTTTTGCAAGTAATAAGGTCATATAGATATACCAGTATATATTGCTTTTTCACTTGATGTTAGTTACTGTTTTTAAAACAGCTGTCACACAAATCTAAAGGAATATTACATTTCCTCAACACAGAAAGGTCGATTGCATTACATCACACAGAGAACTGCAATGTGGTGTGATAAATTTGAGTTAAGCATGCAGGGCTTTGGATCCATCTAGTGCCAGAAATAGATGTTATACTTAAAGAGACGTCTGTAGTAATGCTTTTATATTGTTGAATTGAGAAGATATTTTTCTGTGGTCGATATAATGAGTGCATTATGCAAATAATTTCACTGCCTTACTCTGGTGTTTATTTTCATGTCAGGTAAAGTGAAATATCTGTGCTATCAGTATTAGGTAAATCAATTGGATATCCTGACATGAAGTGAAATTATTTATTTGAACATGTTTATGCCTTAACGTGCCTTCACTGGGAGCAGTTTTGAATGTCCTGCTAGTGTAAACAAACCTAATCAGCTTACCTGTAGCACAGGGATATGCAGTGATGGGGTAAGTTCATCTTCATCCTTATCTGACTCTTTAAGCTCAGTGAATGAGATATTTGTAAAGTGGCCATCTTAAATCTTGTGTTTAATTGGAGAAAAGAGAAAATGCAGAATTTGACTGTTCTGCCATTGTAAAAGTAGGTATGTTGTTGATCTTTTTTTTCTTACAAGTAGTCTTTTGTTCTATCATTATATATAGGTGTGCAGTGCTGATATATGTCCAGCTTGGGGCCTAGTGGGTTGCCAGTGCTCCCCTACTGTAGATGGAGATTATAAAGATGTTAAACTGTGCCAGTTATGCTGCAAGCAGAATGTGACTGGCGCAGAGTGCAAGTAAGTCCTGTAAATTGTCATGAAGAAGATTTCTATACATAAACAGCCTGAAAATTTCTCTATTTAGTGCAGCAGACACCAATTAAGTCCTTTTAACTATTGCGTTTGACTCCTGATACTAACATGTTTAAGGCATGTTCCATTGCTGCTTAGAACAGATTTTTATGACATTTTATACAAAAGTTTCCTTATGGCCTCTATGTGTCTAGTGTTATATCTTAGTGATGTAGCTATATGTTTTGAGAGAATCACCTTAATAGCCTAGCCATTACATGAGAGTCACCTTAACAGAGCCCCTTCAAAACATCGAACTAACAGATCCATGGATTAAATTAGGCAACCGACTTAACAGTAGAAAGCAAAGACATTAAGGACATGTGAAAGGGAGTGAATTCCCCTGGATTATAATCACATGGTAGAACCCTTCAAAACATTGTTACAGTTGCACGGCTAAGATATAACATGTGAAAAGGCCTTTTATCTACTTGTTAAATTGATTTTAGTATAATAGACATTAGCAGATGATCTGAAAAATGTAATGCTTTTAAATGGATTGAAGTACAAAATACATCACCAAAATGTTATAATTCATTCATTTTCAATCTTTTTCTACAAGGTCTACTTTTGAGATTACCACAATGCCAAACACAACTTTAACCTCTGGAAAACCATGTTACAACTACAATGGATACTGTGATGTGTTTCTAAAGTGCAGGCAGGTGAGGGGAAACTTCAATACAAATGGTTATTGGTAAATTTCATTACGATGTGCCTTATCTGTCACACATTTTCTGTGGAAAATTTTTCTCGTACATGGCACATGATTATAAATTTCATTTGTGAATTCTGTTTATTACTTTTTCCGATAGGTTAATATTAATTCATGTGGTCATCTGCTTTAGAAAAAATCCTAGATGGTATACTATCATTACTTTTTCAGTTTTAAACATTTAGCTTCATCTGTTTTTAACTAACTATCCTTTGTTTATCCAGGTGGTTTGACCACATTGAAAAAAGTATTTTTTTTTTTCATGTTAATTCAGGTTGATCCAAGTGGCCCTCTGTCCATGTTAAGGAACCTGTTCTCTAGTGATGGACTAGAGAGTATGAAGGCCTGGCTGACTACATATTGGTATGTGGTGGTGGCTGGTGGAGTGGGATTCTTTGTTCTCATGGTAAGTGGGCACCAATTTTTTAAAACTATTTTTGATCAGATGGCACTTTGTAATTAAAATTACTGTTACATAAGGTGTTGTTATTATTATCTAGTAATACTTGAATTGATTGAATTTGAACTTTTGTTGAAATAATGAGAATGCTGCATGGTGCATGGTATCATAACTGACTTATTCGTTTGCAGTCATTAGACACAAGTTATATTTATTGTAAATTTATTGAAGTATTTGCATGCAAGCTAACAAATTAAAATTATTTCACATGCCATATCTAGCTATGGCTACAGTGTTTGAAGGCAAGGCTTCAACATGTTTTATGCAATTTTATTTGAGCTCAGTAGGAAAAGATGTCTATGAAATAAGGGCTTTTGAGAGTTTGCTTCAAAGATACACCACAACCTCTAACCTTTAAATTACTGCAATGTGGCATTATTGACTTACATGGCATGCATGCATGTGACACATGGAAACAACTTACACTACAAATCAATTCACTGGGATAATGAGAAAATTTCCAGGTTGCTGTCTGTCCATGTCGTTGTGTCTAGTGGGTGCTGCAGAAATTACTTAAAATACTCAAAAACTTTTGAATGACTGTTTTGGATAAAATTTGACTGACATTGAGGCTTTTGAAATGCTCTGGCTCAGTGGTCAGTGGTGTGCCACTGTTTATATTTAGAAGGTATTAGTACCAATGATAATGAATGCTTGCTTACTTATAGGAAGGATGCATACATTTACATTATTTTTTGCATGCAGGCAATATTTATCAAAGTGTGCAGTGTGGATTCTAGCAAGAAGCCCAAGTCTAAGGATGAGGAAAAATCTGACAAACCTGAGGAAAAGCCTGAAAAACATGGCAAAAAGAAGAAAAATGGAAAAAAGAACAGGGTTTCTCCTACTGCATGGGATAAAAACTAAAAAAAGCATGTATGATATGTTCTAACTAATTGAATTACACTACTGTGAAGCCTTTATTGATAATAATTTTTTTTATGAATATCCATGACCATGGCTTTTGACTTTTTTAAAGTGCCTGTGTGTAGATTTTTTAACAGATGAAAAAAGGGAAATGAATCACCATATGAAGGCCCTTTTCCTGTTGATTATCAAATTTTACAATTATTTTTCATAAAGACTTCATAGTAGTGCTTTTATTTCATACCATTGTTCTTATATGTCGCTCTTAACTTAAATGTAATTATACATGTACTCGTTAAGTAATTTTCATTGCATGTTTTAGCACATATTATAATGCACCACATGACTAGCTGAAAATTGCATGTGCATGAGAAAGTGGTAATAAAACTTAACATGTTATTAATAGGCCAGTTGTAGACACTGTATAAGTATTATGTTGAAATAAGTATTGTTTTAAAATTTTCAGGCTCTTTTCATCAGATTCTGCAGTGTCAGTCATGCTAAAGATCCAAACAGGGTTGAGGAGTTAAATTCTGATGAATCAGACAAAAAAAGCAAAATAAAAAACATTTTCTCAACCAAAAAATCCTATTCAATTCCATCAGTTGAAAAATCAAGTCATAGACCTTTGCCTATTGTTCGGCCGAATCATACTTTACGTATTAATAATAAAGAGTGCCACAAATTAGAGCCTCAAAAACTGGAAAGCGGGCATCCACAGTATAAACATAATCATTCCAAGCATGACCGCCCAACTGTACATCAGTCATGGAAATCCAACGAATGGAAGAGGAAAGTGGATCATGAAGACCAGTATATAAGTAACAGGAAACCATCTAGGAGACCCCCAATTAGCCTCCGTCCACCAAGACTACAAAGACATAATAAAGTTGGCCAGTCTCCTTAGATCTGAGGTATTAAAACAACTTTTTTTGTGAATATTTGTAAGCCTTTATTGGGTATATGCATTTATTTATAGAATGAATTGGTAAAAAAATCATTGAAGCTCTTAAAATTGATGAGTGACTGTAGACTGGTATGTAGAGCAAGGGGAGCTTTAACACCACATCTTCTATGATGTAAAGGGAATGTGAAACTTATACAGTTTTCCTCTCTTATTGTGGACAACTATTCATATATGACACATATCTTTTGGATAAAGTGCCAGAAATTATTATATATGCCATTTCAAGAAAAAAAGCTAAGCTTAACCTTTTAAAGTTGTAGTAGTACCAATCATGATTATACAGGCATTGCGCTTCCTTCAAGAAATGCCTCTTACCCAAACATTTTTTATAAATCTTTATATACAGCTGTTGTAGCAAAAACTTGCAGTTATCTTATGGTGACAGTTATAGAATACAAGATATTCATATTTAGAAGACATATTTTTGTAACAATTTTCTTATTCTTTTGTAAACTATTATATGCTTAATGCAACCGTCCACTATAAGCCAGTAGTTACTTTTTAGTTTTTTTATGTTTGTTAGCATCTCACACATTGTTAAAATTGTAAATTCCCCTCATTGACTGTCTGAATTATATCAGGGTTATATAGACTCTTCTGTATGTTGTTTATTGACATATTATTGGATAGTAATATCTTCGGGGTCTACTATCACAGTTACCATATTGTAAGTTGTGGGTGCCTTGCCTAATTTTATGTTTTTCAATGATCTCACTTGGATATATACCAATACATTGCTATGTATTTTAATTTAGACTGTAGTTTTGTATTTTTACCACACAACTTTGCCTGACAAATCAGGGTAGCAGCAGTGGCAATAGTGGCTAGAGGTAACAGACTCCCAAATGACTAGTTTCTTTACCAGCTATCGCAGTGGACTTCTGGGGTCACTTACAACAGAAAATGCTAAAAGCACTTTGGGAACTAGCTTTTGTATTCTAATATTGCGAGAGTCGATGGTCTTGAGGTTATGCAGTTGTTAGTGTGCCACCACCACTGCAAATATAATTATTTAGCTCTGAACAGATTAATTTAAAAGCTCAGCATCTGTGATATAAATATTTAACCAAATGCTTATTCTTGAAGTAAAGACGTTGTGGATATGGTATATTCAGATATATATATGTTCTCTATGAAAGTTTGAAGTACATTGTTCTGTCAATGTTTTGATGANGCCTCTCTGATCCTCTAGTTTCATTTTTGTGTTGGGTATTTATGTGGTTTACCTGTAAGACCATGTTGTAATCTTGCACCAGGTAGATATCACCTAAAGTGCAGTAAATTATTATTTTTTCTATGATTTTGATGAAATGCTCACAACATCTTAATCTTAGTGTTGTCCTCTGAGATTCAGCACTTAATGAAGGCTGGGGTAGCGCTAGCACTTTTTTTATTTTTTTGGCTTAGCCAAATTGCCACTTGTTTGTCAATTTGTTATCCAAATGGTTTAAATATGACAAAAATTAGTCAAATCAAGTCCCTTTTGTTTAGCCAATTTAAGTCAGTTTTAACATTTGGCTAAATTGGCAAGTGTTGGCGCTACCCCAGGGAGGCCATCCTCTGTAGCAGCATAGGCACATGATTTCGTTATGCTGTACATGGAATTAAGCTGAGTGTACAGTCATGCCTATTTGTTACGAAGTACAGAATGATGTTATACTGACATAAAGTAGTCAGTAGATGAATTTGTTTTAAGTTCTTTGAATATTTGTGTTTTTACATATGTGGACAAGATGCATAATGATATACAGATGAAGGGGCCTATTTCAATGTATTGTGTCTTAGTTACCATGTTTTTTTCTTTCTTTTCATTATGACTGAACCTTTGTAACCATAGAAATTTGGCAAGACCCTGTACCTGTTGTAAAAGTTTAAATATTTTTGTAATGTTTGTGCCTTGTATAATAAAGTGTGAGCAAGCAATGAGCAGAATTTTTTGTTTCTTTGATATTCTATTCTACTAGTTTAATTTAAAAATTGAATAATAAATATGATATCCTTATTAAATCTTCTCTAAAACATTTCCACAGCTAAATAAAGCAGTAGAATAAAAAAGAATTAATTTTTAAAATTTACAGTTAATTTTTTTCACAAACATTAGCTAGAAACTGAACTACTAATAAATGAGAAAAACACTGCATTTTATTGAAAACATACTTCTCAAATATTATGCTTTTACTTAACAAATAAAAAACAGACATGAGCTTTTTCTGCAGAATTCTCCCTTTTTTAAAAATTCAGTTCTGATCAAGGAATAAGCCAGCTAGACATACAGTGGTCATTTGGCCTGTTCAGGCAGAAGACGATTGCAACCTATTGCAACTGGCATTTTTAAAAACTTACCCTACCCTCTACCATCTAGAGACATATCTGTTGAAAATCAATCGGTCGCCCTGGTAGAGGGTAAACCTACCCTACATGTACCACCCACCCCAGCACTTATCAGCACGATGAATGTCCAGTGTTTTTTCAAATACCCAGGTTCACATTTGAAACAATTAAATATTTGTGATAACACATCAAGTCCATTGTTAACATTGTACAAATTTAATTTTTTTTCCATTTAAACAATCTGGTCAAGCAACTTCATAGGTGGGATTGCCATATGAGCTCCAGCTTCCAAAGTCGTCCAGGGTAATGTATCGATATCCTTTGACATGACGCTTTCTGAAAAAAGGAAAAGGAGATCAAGGTAGTCTTATCATAGGGTTAATTATCATTAATCAGAACAAAGGGTAATCAGACAGGTCAATTTAACAATGTTTAACAATGTAACAAATATTTTTAGAATTTTATGTAAGTTTTACCAACATATGCAGTGTTATTTTCTCGGTAAAAACAGTTCCGAAAAGTACAATGGCATCTGATTTTAGTATGAGACTATAACTTCTATATATGCAGCAGACAAGTGTTTAAAGCCAAGAAATGTGCTTCAACAATCTGTTTTATATAAATGTTGCATGTAGTATTTGGCATGAAAATGTGTGTAAAGAATAAACTACAAGTCATCTAATATCATGTATTCTACAGTTATTTTCATCTTACCTCATCCACAGGAAAATTACAATAACAATGATTAAAAGCACAGGCAGGCCAACTCCTAGGCCCACTGCCAGTCCCACATTGTTTCCTGATGTCTTTTCTGTATCTTTCTGTGCAATGTGAGTTGTTATGTCCTTGGATAAACTTGTTGTAACAATGGATTCAGGGGATGTTTGCATGTTCCTTCTAGTTGTTATTGTTACTGGTACCGTTTCCTTGCTGATACCAATGGTACTACTGGCAATACTAGGCGGATTCTCAGTAACTGTTGTAATTATAGTACCAGTGACAGTGATGCTGACATTGTTATCTATAGTTGATAATGTAGAAATGGGTACAGGTGTTGCTGTTGTACCTGTTGTGTTTGTGTCTGGTGATGTCTGACTTGTAGTAATGGACTGCTCAGTTGTCATGGTAGCTCCGCCACTGTCAGGAATAGGCTTCTTTGTTGGGCCTGTAAACATGGCTTCAGTAGTAGAAGTCACGGAAGCTGTCTCACTGGTACTAGTGTTGCTTGTGGCAGTTAAAACAGTTGTTAAATCTACACCAGGGTTGACAGTGCTTTTGGCACCAGTAGATGTTGAAATATATGTACTCAAGTCCATGTATGTAGTGCTTGTTGAAGTAGTTGTACCATCTTGTATTGATGCTGAAGTTGATTGTAAGGATGAAACAGATGTTGTACCAACCACAGTGGGAGTAAGGGTTTTTGCCGAATCGTTGGAAGATGTAGGATTTGAAGTTACTGTGGTTATAACTTCAGTTGTCTCTGCTGCAGTTTTAGTTTGCATTGCCCTTGTTGATGAATTAACCTTAAATGAAGTTGTTAATTTTGACAGAAACTTTGATGTAGACACTGATAATGATGTAGGTTCCTCTGGTAATGCAGTTGTTTGTGTACTGTTATCCTGCATACTAGGACTGCTACCTGCTGTTGTAGTACCTGGTGTTGTTCTTAAACTTTTTTCTGAGCTTGTATTTATATCCGGTGATGTGCCCTTTTCATTTGTCACCTTCTTTGCTGTCACTGTTGGTGTCACCAATGTTGTGGTAGACCCAAGTTGAGTCACAGAAGGTGTCTCGGTGATTCCAGTTGACGCAGTCATTGATGTTGTAGAGGTCAAGACTTTAGTTGTTATTATGGGTACCTTTGAGTCTGTCATAGACTGTGTGCTAGTCACAGGTGATGTCTTTGGTGGTTCAGTCTTTATAGGTGTCACTTTTGTCATCACTTTGGAAGATGAACTGATACTAGGAGGCATTGTTGAAGATGTTGATACAGTTGATGAGGCTGAAGCATTACTAGAACTATCATTGTTTATTTTAATTGAGGTTGTAAGGTGTGGTAATGGACTGGTATTTAGCTCTGGAGAAAATGCATTTGTCCCAACCTGGCAACTTACTAAAACTGAAAAAGGAAAGAGGTTAATTAAATATGAACAAAAGATAATTAGTGAATGAGTAAGTAAATTACATGTTTACTGCATTTTCTGAGAAATATTTTTGATAAGTAAAACCCGATTTCTTACTTTTTGCACTTTCTTTGATGACTACCCCTTTTATGAAACTTTAAGCTAGGATCTATCTAAAAAATTAAATTCCTGAAATTCTGCAATATAAATCTGTAGCACTCCTATTTCCTGTCTTTTTGGGGAAAGTGGATGGGGAATTAGGAGTCCCCTGACCCTCCCCTCTCTCCTTCTTATCTTGGATCTATCAGGGGAAAATTAATAAATATATACTTTTTTCAAGACCTTTATTACATCTTGGGCCCAGGTGGGACCTCGATTACACTATTGTGAAGTGGCACTGTGTTTTGTCCGGCAGGCCTTACTAGCATCACACGGAGATGAGATTTCCCGACTATCGGAGGACCTCCGACTTTTTGGGAGTCTAAAATGTCCCCCCCCCCCTCTCCCCGCGGGCCCCACTCCATATTTTCCGACTTTTTCACTAAATGGCAGTTTCATCCCTGAAAAGGAAAGGTAAGTCGAGTTGGGACCTTCCTTTGTACTTCACATAAGTGCCAAATCACTTTCACTTTCCCTTTTGGTTGACTGTTTATAATATAAGGTGCGTTAATAATCTTGTCTTTTACCTAAGTGCTTAACAAGATTTTAAATAAAAACCGCAAGTTTGGGAGTTTAAGTTATTTACATGATGACATCCGTGTCTCGCATACCACCAAATACCCCATACTATCGGTACCCTTAGCACTTTAAATTTGTAAACTTTGTTTTTAACTCTCGAGCATCGGTTTTGCTAAAATAAGGCTATCACACTTTTTTCTTTTCTTTTTTTTTTTTCATTTTCATATCCAGCGTCAACTTATACGGACCATGATAGGCAAAGGGGGATAGGGGGGCGGGGGCAAAGAACAGTTCAAGTTACGTGAACTAAATTTAAAAGTGAATGACAGAGTCCTGCTCTGTTACAGATGTAGTTAAAAACTAAAACTTCTTACCTAGACTTAGCAATACGACATACATTTCGACTCCCATTTTACGACGTGTGTCCTATAACTTGCTTTCATGTCCTTATGCTTGTTAAAACACTGTAAAGTTGTAGGACCAATATGTTATCTGCTTTGTCCTACTTTTACAGATAAGCGAGACAAGGCATGACAAGGACACATAACGCTACTATTCACATGCATGCAGAGGTCACACATTAATCTTTATACAAAGAAACCTTATTATAATGCACGCGGCACTAATGTTTATTGACACCATGCCGTTATATATTAAACAGAAAATGATTTTGTGACGTTAATAAGTACCTTCAGGTAATGTACATGTATACATATATGTTGGTGATGTACAGTAGTGTCGTATGCAGCCAAAAGAGGGCGATGGTATTCGAATAAACAACTCGTTCACTCGTCCACTCTGGTGGGCGAAAGACGTTTTCCAGTATTCATTGGGTTTTTGACATTGAAAGTTTCTCTGAAAGGTAACAAAATCTGTAATATGTTAGTTTTCATTTCACTTATCATATTGAAAGGGACTAATTGAGCTGGCCAGATCTTAGCAATGAAGAGGATTCGGTGTTTTAGTATAGAAATTCATTAAAATGTGTAGGCCTACTGTACCACGGTAAATTATGAAAGTACAAATAAATCCAACTTTAAGAAACAACGATAGTGTAGGAAGAGTTAAAAAATTACAGTTTTAATAAAGTTTTTTATTTAGTATCATTGAATACCTTAAATGTCAATAAAGGAATCAGAGGGCGTCTTTGATTTTTTTTTTTACCTTTTTTATTTTTATGAATTTTTAGGGTCCCGTTTCTCATTATCATGACATTGCATGTATTATCTCGTTCACCGAAATTCATTCACCAGCTTTTCATCTATATAATATAATATAATATAAGGTTTCATTTTCCGGACATACAGAAAGAAGGGTGTCTCGAGGTAAAGCGTTATCAGTACCATTTAGTTCATTTAGTCTGGAAAGGGGCATTTACTCAACCCCAAAAACTCTGATAAAGCCTAACGTAAATTTTGTATAGAATAAAAAAAGTAGTCAGTCCCTGACTTAAGCGATCCTATTCGGGATTTTCTCACCAAAATCGAATTTTCCCATGAAAAAAAGGCAATTTCTCCTACACACGAACCATTGCTTGACCCGTCCCTGGGCTTTTGATTTGATGTTTAATACCACTTTAATATAATAATTTAGTCCTGAATGTTTCCCGTAACATTTAGACTGTCATGTCTTCCCGTACATTTCAGAAGGTACTTTTATTTGATGGGTTTTATCGTTTATTAAGTATTGAATCGGGAGAGATAAGTGGGGCAGTTGCAATCGTGGATAGCTTATTTTTAAACTTAGGACCCATATTGTGATAGTGGACACGTTTTCCGACGGAAAATATGTCTGATTCTGAATAATTCTTTCCACCTTGGAAAAAAGTATTTGTTTCTCTGGCATTTTATGATACTATTTGGAATAAGAAAAGACTATATTAATAGATGACTAAAATAAAATGTGACGCACCGTCACAAAGATCAATAGTAGAACTGTTACGAAGTGATGATTCCAAACCTGTACCCTTCACATTATAGGCCTATTTGTCTTGTAGCACATAATCATTGTATTTAAATTAATAAGTTCTATATGAACCAGAGGATTCACTTATCTTTTCTACGGAAGATTTAATAAGAAATGCCAGATCCTTCGAAGTTTGCAACTTTATTTCTTGTGCACGAAATTTAAGAGTGATAACGGTAAAATTGACGGGAAAAGAAATGAAGTTATCGATCCCCCTGTTTGCGCACGTTGCAAAAAGTCAATGGCGCAAACTGATAAAGTTATCATGCAATTCAGTCATTCTACCTGAGTTCCATTAAAAATTCAAAGGCAGGATCGATTTTGTTTTCCGGCAAATCTACCGGCGCAACCTGGGTATGACACCATCGACGAGTAGCCTAGACAGCTTTATTTCACTTTTAGAAAATGAGACTTGCAAAATAAGACATCATTCCCAGTAAATCAAAGTTTCTAAATGTGCGTCTTAAACTAAATTACATGTAGATCTCACTTCTTGTCTGACTGCATACCACTGGTGGCCGGCTGAAATCAATAAACACCTTTTCATCAACCCTTTCTATGGAGGACCCTGCAGAGGGCGCTCTTTTCTATCCGTACCGCTGGGACGCAAAATAATCGATATCAACAAGCCTCGGCATTTCGTGAGGCAGGTTAGTTGGAGTCGGGTCCAAATTACTTCTTGTATTCCCATCTTGCGTGACTTCAAGAAAGTCTTTTTCGGGAAGAAAATTAAGATAACGACCAAATGAGTGCCAAGTCGAAAAGAAGCCCCCGTGGCTCAAACAGTAACTTGACAGAAGCTGACGAAGCTGAAATGGATCGCATCGTCGGACGACCCGACAGTGCCCGCTCCCGTAAGAGCGCATGGGATGAAGATGGAGGCATGGACAACATGGGGTTTGACCGACCCTCCTCTGCGCGCAGCTACCGCGAGGAAGAAGAAGTCGGACGTATTGAAACCACCGATGATCTGTTCCCCACCGATACCAGCATGGATGAGAAGAAGAAAGCCGAAGAGGCCGCCCCACCCTCCGGTTGCTGTGGAAAGTTCTTGGGTGGAATACGATGTAAGTGGAATTATCTGTATCATTGCTTTGGTGTTACTTAAACTTGGAAATATGTATATATATTTAACACTGCTCTTAAGCAGAATATAAATTTTAAGAGTTTGAATAAATTTGTAGAGTGTTTAAGCACTTAAATGGCTATGAGGCGAGACCCCGTTTCTTAACTATTTACAGTGTAAACGTCAGTCATTCCGGAAACGTTCAGTTTTCTTGGTAAAATAACCTGGCATAATAAAACATTCATTTGTTGTGTGTATAAGGCAAGAAAAACAGCGAGACTGAAAGGATTTCAGTTCAACCCAGTTCACAATTTATATCGCTGTCCGTATCGTTTTGATATAAGTAAACGGACCATTTACGTGCATATTAATTCTTCCAAAGATTTGCCCGTTCAGATAACATTCATTTTGGTGGATCTCTAAATTTGTACAACTGTAAAGACACTAATTTTATTTGATGATGTATAAAAAAGAAAACATGGCATTTAGATTTTTTATCCGTTCAGTTCCCTGTTTTTGTAGCTTTTTGAATGTTATTTAGGATAAGTGAGAGCTTGAATGCTGCACAATGCAACCTCAAAACATTCTACTAGACAGCCATTACTAAACTTAGGGAAATAAAGCAACAGATTTTAAACGGGTTTATGAAGATGTAATGTTGTATATGTTATACTTTGTACATAAAGAAACAAAAGGCAATATTCATTGTGTGTTGTTGGATGATTCAGAATGATACATGTATTCAATAATATATGTATTGATCAGTGAGAGTTTTAAAGTTTTTAAACTTTAGAAATTAAAAAAATTATATGTTAATGAGGTTGACATAACCGACAATATGGATACTTTTTTAAACTAAGCATTTTTATCTAAGACTTTACAAATTAAATAAAATTGCATTTTTGTTATGGTTGAAGATAATTTTCTTAAAAAATTGCAATGCACATTTATGTACTAATAAAAATTCAAGGAGAAAAAAATAATCTCACCCATTTGCATATTTTTATAGAGCAGTTTTGTATATCAGTGAGCTTTCATTTATTGTTTCACTGATGTTGAAAATTAATTATGCATAATCATGTGTTTGGTTGGCAACATTTGCCTTTCAGCTGCCCTCATTAAGTTTTGAATCTAATTATCTTATTCCATATTATTATTATTATTATTTCGTATTTTATTCATAATATTTTAAATGAGGTTTGTCTATTGGTATAAAATATTTGCAAATATTTTTTTCTTCAAAAACATTCACTTCATATGGGAACTACTGATTATCTTATGTTGTATGCATTATGTCAGTTTCACTTTAATTTCAATATTATTTACTTTAATTAAATGTTTGTCACAGTCACGTATTATATATTCATTTCTGCACATTTAGCACTGTGGAGAACCAGAGAGACTGTGGATGCATCAGGCAATAAAGATCTCTACATCAAAACCACCCTAAAAGAGCTGATTATTTATCTTCTATTTTTGGTGGTGTTATGTGTTAGTAAGTACATGTGTGCACTGGCTTTCTTTAGATTTTAGGTTTGGTTTGGTTTGGTTCTGGTTGGTTTTGGAGTGCTCTGACATTGACTTGCTGAGCATCTATTTAGAAAATATAAAACACCCTTTTTCATCAGTTGGCACATGTAGATATGACCTCCCTAGCTGTTTCCTGTGGCACCCAGCACTCAGCGTGGTAAGTAAAGTGTGAATCATCTCAGTTTGCAGTGAGTTTGTCTTACTTTTCTAACTATAACTTCTTCCAGCAATGTGGGCTACTAGACAATTGCAGTTTGAAGAGTCTACAAAAAATCAGGAACTTTACATTAAAACCACCCTGAGAGAGCTGATAGTGTATATTCTCTTCTTGGTCATTCTGATGGTTTGTAAGTATTCAGATTATATATCCGTTTTAATATAATATATTTTTATGCCTCAAGATATATTATATTCACTTTAAATTGGTTGGGGAATAATTTTTAAAGGATATAGAAAAAATGCTGAATAAATGAAAAGATATTGATGAGATAAATAGTAATTAAGAAATGCAGTACATTTTATTGATCTCACCTTTGTATGAGACTTTGAAATGTTTGATTTTACCTGTTGAATTGATTATTTTTTTTTTGCTCTTCCCAACCCATAATCATGAATTGCTCCTTTGAAATGTTATCCATCAAGATTCATTCATACATTGATTTTTTGTCCGGTTCACAACATTTGATTGCCATTCGATAATGTAATAGAAAGAGAGTACTAAATAATGCATTGAGTATTTGAGTATGCAATGCATTTAGCACATACAACTGAACTTGTGATGAATTTGAGTGGTGTAGAAAATTAGGAATCATTTTTACAGAAGTGAGATCAGAAATTGACATTTTTTCTTTGAATACGTTATAAAACAACAAAAACATAATAAAGTTAATGTTTTACTTACTAAATTTTCCACCTTCTCTTGGACACTTTTTTGTGATTTGTAGAGATTTTTCATACTGTTTTTTCATAGACTCTTTCTTTGTGTGGTGTGTCCAACATTAATGCCAGTAGGTCACTAATTGATATGTAAATGCATTTGTATCCACTTGACTTGGCTGGAAGTGCAACTTTGCCCTTTAGATATTCACTTTTCAACCAAAAGATTCTAAGCTTTAGCACCTTGAAGACTGGACTTTTAAGATTTCCATTAAAAAAGTGAACACTTCTTGAAAATCCCATTACTACATGATCATATTTCTCCAAACTAAAAATTGTTATTTCACATGTAATATTTTCTTGAATTTAGTACTGTATACATTGTACTGCACAAGCCTGGAAATAAAAGGGTTATTTGTTAGATATGGAGACCATAGACCTCATTACATAATCAGATTCTTATTATTGAAATGTTTGCTTTGGCATTACTATGTGGAACTGTTATGCAGTTACCCCATCCAGGCTTTTGGCAAAATAAACTCAAGCATACCAAGTTTGTGGAAACTGAAGGCCTACTTTATTAAATGAAAGAATGGTCCCAAAGCTGTTGGTGCTTGACCCAAGTTATAGAAAAGTGTACCAAATATATGCACTGATATCAGACTGATGAATTAAATAAAATATTATTGATTGTGCTCTGCTTTTTCCTTTTAAACTAGGATCTAAAATAAATACAATTTTTGGATATTAGATTAAATAAAAATTAGTGGAAGATTTATCTAGTTTTACCAATATTAATTACAAAGATGGTAATTTAACACAGTGTTAACTTAATATTTTTTTAATCTAAAATTCTATTTTCTGTTAGTAACCTTTGGCATGACCAGCTCCAACATGTACTACTACACCAAGGTAATGAGTGAGCTCTTCTTGGACAACAGCTTTAATTCTAATGGACAGACCTTTCGATCAATTAGCAACCTTGGAGACTACTGGCAGGTTAGAAATATTTTCCAATGTGTATTTTATCAAAATTAATACTTTTTTCTAGTAAATGTAATGCATTAAAAAAAAAATCTTGTATTGCTTTATTTTAAGCATATTGCAGTTAAATATCTGTGGCAAATTACTCAAAACTAGAATTTTTTTTGTTCTTTTTTTGAATGGTAAATTCATAAAGAACATGAATTTTGTTATTTCATTTCAATAAGAAAGTTGCAGCCAACAGAGGTAATTTTATGACACTGTCTCTTAAATTAAGTTCGCTCGTGGCCCTCTCATGGATGGACTGTACTGGGAAACATGGTACAACAACCGCAACGTGTCACAGGATGAACTCGGCTTTATTTTCTACGAAAACAAATTGCTTGGTGTCCCTCGTATCCGTCAGCTGAAGGTTAAGAATGGCTCCTGCAAAGTGGAATCAAACTTTGGACATGTTATCGATGATTGCTATGGACCATATGCTTCAGGAGATGAGGACAAGTCAACCTTTGGGAAGGCAAATGGAACTGCGTAGGTTCAAAATTATATTTTTGTGAAAGTTGATTATGAAAGTGTATTTAATTTATTTACTATTATCAAAGCTTTTTTAACATTTAATAAAAGATTTAGTACCAACTGATGTAGCACCACATGCAACTGATTTTAAACTAAAATTTTGAGAATATCTGCAAAGGGTAAGAAAATTAGATTTTACTTTTTGAAGTAAAGTAAAGTTTATAATATATCCCTTTCATGTATAGATATGTTGCTAACTGTTAGAGCCCTATTTTCAGTTGGTCCTACCAAACCTCTGAACAGCTTGATGGCTCAGGCCATTATGGCATCTTGACCCGCTATGAAGGTGGTGGCTATGTCCAGAAGCTGTCCACAACCAAAGCCAAATCCCTGGCCATCGTTGATGACCTGAAGCAAAACCTGTGGTTGACTCGTGGAACCAGGGCAGTTTTCACTGATTTCACTGTCTACAATGCCAACATCAATTTGTTCTGTGTCATCAGGTGATTGCCATTTTTTTCATTGGATATGAAAAGTTAAATGAAATTGAAAAGCATAGATAAATTCATTGAGTAATGAACTCCTTGAATAAATACATGATACAGTGGCAAATTATGTGACTTAGGGTAAAGGCTATATCAAAATCTTAAAAATAATATATATAATCTATTAGAGTTATAATCATTATTATTAATTTTATTTTTAATTGATTTAACTAATTCACCCTTTTTGATGTTATTTCATGAAATATTTTAACACATTTTCCAGACTTCTGGTTGAGTATCCTGCCACTGGTGGTGCCCTGTCCTCCTGGTCATTCCGTACCATCAAACTTATTCGCTACGTGTCAGTGGGAGACTACTTTGTCATGGCTTGCGAATGTATCTTCATTCTCTTCATCATTTACTACATCATTGAGGAGGTTTTGGAGGTGAAGTAAAATTTTGAATACTTTAAATGTTAAAACATGTAGGTATGATGACTTTTTATGCCCAAATGATATTTTACTAGTATCATAAAACAAACCTTGAAAGTTTGCATTTAACAAAAGTTTTTTAAATTACAGATCAAGAAACACAAAGTGGAGTACTTCAAACACTTCTGGAATGTAGTTGACATCCTGGTGCTGGTGATCTCCTCTGTGTGTATTGCCTTCAGTATCTACCGTACCATTGCTGTGGACACCATGCTGGAGAAGCTGCTGGAAAACCCTGAGGAATTCCCTGACTTTGAGTTCCTCAGTTTCTGGCAGATGCAGTTCAACAGTGCCGTGGCTGTTGCAGTGTTCTTTGCCTGGGTGAAGGTAAATATTGGAAAATGTGAATAGGGATGCTGTACTATTTTATACAGAAATTTTTAAATTAGAAAATGAGTGTGTTTTATAGCAGCGGGTCATATTCAGGGACACTTTTCTTTTTTATTTTGACTTATTTTGTTTTGAAAATTATGAAATTATGAATTGATTAAATTGAAAAAAAAATGTAATAATTAAATACTCAAAATAAGTTGAAATTATTAATATTGGATTTTTTTATGTAAATTGAGTATTGATCTAATCATGCCCAAAAATGTTGCAACTTCAATTTATGTTTTACAATTTTTATTTCAGGTTTTCAAGTACATCAGCTTCAACAAGACCATGACCCAACTGTCCTCCACCCTCTCACGGTGTGCTGGTGACTTGGCTGGATTCTTGGTCATGTTCTGCATCATGTTCTTTGCCTTTGCCCAGCTTGGTGTGCTCGTGTTTGGAGCAGTGATCAGAGACTTCAGCAACTTCTGGAACGCTGTGTAAGTTAGTTAAGAGACCATTAGATTAAAGATGTTTGTATGTCAATTACACTGTATATATGTATTTTTGGGAGATGAGTAGTCTTTTAATCAGATTTGTTTTGTAATTTGAAGACATTCTTGTAACATCATGCCTGTTTTCTTTAACATCTTTAAACAAAAGTCAAAGTAGTAACAAAACTAATTGTGTTGATATGCATGTTTGAATTTAAGAATATAAAATTGAATATATGAAGACAATTTGAAAGCAATGAAGTGATTTGGCAATGAAAAACATTTATATTAACAAACGACATATGCTGTTTCAGGTTCACTCTGTTCCGTATCATTCTTGGAGACTTTGACTTCAATTCCCTGCAGGACTTCGACAAATTCCTTGGCCCCCTCTACTTCTTCTGCTATGTGTTCTTCGTGTTTCTCATCCTGTTGAACATGTTCCTGGCCATCATCAATGACACTTACGCTGATGTCAAGTCTGACATAGCTTTGCAGAAGAATGACTTTGAGATGACTGACTACTTCAAGAAGGTAAGGTAGAAGAAAAACTTTAAAAATATGTTAAATGAACTTTAAGAAATATTTGGTTTAATGCTGGCTTGAAAGTAGTAAAGGCTCCTAAGATTGGAATAACCAGAGCAGTTATTCAAGTAGTAAACTTTTGTTTTTTGATAAACTATGTATAACATAAACTTTATAAAATTATTAACTTGTGCATTTTAAAGATGATACCATAAATGCGATTATTGTATATAATTTATTTTAAATTTACAGGGCTACCAGAAGATGATGGACAAGTTGAATTTCAAGCGTGACAAGATTGTGGACATTCAGAAGGCTCTGGCTAGTGCCGACATGGATAATGACATGGTGGTTGACTTTGATGAGTGGCGTACTGAGTTGAAGAAGTGGGTATTGTTTCATTATGTCTTTTTTCATTTACTCTTTATCGAGTTTTAGAAGCCATTTGACATCATCTGTTAGTATTTTAACAGTTCAATTGAATGTTGTTGATTATATATGCACAAAAATAGAAATAGATCTTGGGATTAAAGGAACCAATTTCTGCTGTTAATATTTCAAAAATAATCTTTTTCAAAAATCTTATTTCTAGGCGTGGTTATGCTGACACTGAAATTGAAGCACTGTTCGCGAAGTATGATGTAGATGGTGACCGTACTTTGGATGAGTCCGAGCAAAAACAGATGGCAGTTGAACTTGAAGGCCAGAAAGTAAGCATATAATTGTAAAAGAAAAAATTAACAAGATAAAAAACCTTAATTCATCATATCTTTAAATTGGCAAATAATTTAACTGGCTTGTCTAATTTTGTTTGATTGTTGTTTAATTGATGGTTGATTATTGTTGTTTGATTGATGAAAATTTTATCAATAGCCATGCTTTTTAGTCCTCTAATTCAGTAACACAGGGAAATTATTTTTCTCTTGAAAATTTATTCTAGGCCAAACTTGATGAAGAAGAAAATGAAATCGAAAAAGACAAAGAAATGGCACAGGCAGGTCGAAAAATGGGCGTGACAGTTGAAGAATTCAGTGTCCTACAGCGCAGAGTAGACAGAATGGAGCACTCCATTGGCAGCATTGTTTCAAAAATAGATGCAGTCTTAGTCAAGTTAGAAGCCATGGAAAAGGCCAAATTAAAACGAAGAGAAACAATGGCAAAAATATTGGACAGTATCACAGAGGTGTGTGTTAATGATATTTCTGATAGATTTCAGTGAAATGAGATCATTATGAAACAGGAGGAGAAATAATGGCATAAAATACTGTATTCCACGGATTTTAAAAATTCACTTTTTTCATAAAAAAAAACAGAAAGAAATAATAAACAAATGTGCATTTTAAGGTCATTTCCTTCCCATTATTAGTGCCTGGCCTTGAGTATTTATATTCTTTATACAACCAATTAACCACCATTTTGAAAAAGAAAATTAAAACTACAGATAAAGAAACACATTTTCTAATCATCTTTAAAGGCTGACGGTCTTGATGATGAAGAAAAGCGAGACCAAATGGAAAGACTAGTGAGGGACGAATTAGACAAATGGGACCAAGATATAGAGACCAACAGCACAGGTGCCTCCTCGGGCTCGGACAGATCTCGGACAGCTAGCTCAAGACCACCTTCATCAGGATATGTTGGGGTAAGCATTGTTAAATAAATATTTTGAAAACAAGACTTAAAATTAAAGTAATGGATAAAATACATAGGGTATTTTTGTAATTATTGCAGTTCAAGTATTATCTTCTTGTAATGCCAGAAATATGAAGATTTAGTTAACTTTTGTAATTTATAATGGTCACGTGATCTGATGTGAGAGGTAACATTTTTCAAATGGTTTAAAATGATGACATTGTAATGTTTTTATACTTTGTTTGCTAACAGTCGGACTTCTAAACATGAAAAGGTATGCTGATCTGAACGTTATACCTATTTGAATATTTGTTGTTGTCTATAGTTTTCTTTGGTTTATTTTTTCTTCAGTTAACTTTTTTAAAATTCGTTGTGATTGATTAATTTGTTTTTAAAATGCAAAATAGCAATTTTTGCTTGTGATTTTAAGCTATTCGTTATATTTTAAATCGACTTTAAAGTATCATTTAAAAACACCCGGCTTGCGCCAAGGAGTCTGTTTTGGTTGAACGCCGTTTAATCTTGTAAACTTTTCGCGTGTTTCTGTTTGGGCTACGATTGGTGTTCGTTCAGTTCTCCCTTTTTTCAGTCAGTTAACACTGCCAGAAAAGAGACTGCGCTTTCCCTTGATTCATTGTGTAGTGCTCATTCTTTCATGTTGAAATTTATACTCTGACGTAAATGCTTGAATGACTAGTTCGATTAATCAATCTCAATTGTGTCACGCCCAGTGGAACATAATTGAAGTGTAAACTGTTTTGGACAGGTATAAACAGTGCTTTCAGTTGGTATTGATTAAACTGCCCCTAGGGAAATCATTAAATAAAAAAGTCGAGACACATTTGCGGACAAGGTAGCGATTTTAAATTCGATCGGCAAAATCAACGAAATGAATTATTTTCACTGTGTAAATCTTAGATGACATTTATAAAATCGCTATGAAAATATCCTCTGTTAGCTTTACAAAATAAAATCTGTACAGACTTAAAAACAACCCTGTTTTGACGTTTCACCTTGAGATGAGAAAGGTGGCAAAAGTTGAATAATAAGTTTAGCTGAACGATACGTTATGTCGCCAGCCACAACAATTCGAATTTTATCAAGCTCAATTGGTAAATAAACGAACCATTCACCCATGAGAGCTTGTTCGTTTGTCTGAGCAGTCTTATTTATTTCTTTGATATTCTGACTTTTCTTTTCAGGATCGGGTTTACCAAAACAGAAAAGATTCAAGTCCAGTGTGAAATCGGCATATACGGCAGATGCCTACCGGTACCAACCAGTTATTATTGAGATTCTGTTTTCGTTCAATTTCAATTAAATAATCCGTCCGGGGAAACTTCAAGTGTCAAGAACTACCTTTTGCCACGCACTGTCTGAGAGCGTGACCTTCACGACCACCCTTCGTGATGCGAAAGAAAAATACGTAAATGGCAAAATATAGCGTTATTTATCAAAACTTTTCCTTGACATGGACTGTTGACATCTTGAACGTCTTTTCATCAGAGTAGCCAGAATGAAATGCAACAATGTGCAATGGTCAATGTCACTTCAAAACAGCATCTACTTAAAAAGAAAAGAAGTCTGCATTGCGCGTGACTGGGAGTGAAGCAGGGTTAATTATTTATTGAGAAATGAGCGTTTTTCAGCCGGTCTGAAATGCGTTTAATTTGCTGGAGAAACGTAACTGTCTGGTCGTGCATTATTTATAAACAATTACTGTATCCATATTTATTTGTCTCATCGAAAAAACATGAAATACTCTGCCGATGTGCAAGTCTTATGTTGGATTTGTATCTATACTAGTGATATATCTATTTTTGAGTCGTTAATAGGCTTCTCGTATATATTTACAAATGTCTTCAAAGACATGCTTATCAATGTGAGATAATGTGATATTACTTGTAGGGCAATTATTTAATGAGTGGTGTCTAAAAATATTATTTTGTTCTACACTGCATTTACTTGTCAGGTTTTAACGTAAGAAAGTGAATGGTAAAGATTAGCAGCGCTTCATAGCGAGTTACTGCAACAGGTTCCTAACTGGTATGTCTATATATTGAGGTTGAGTTGTAAATTTCGCAAAATAAATGACACTATTCTTCTGTTCTAATTCTTACTGTTTCGGTCCTTCGGGTACTTTGTATATGATGCACTTTGCTTTTCCTGTTTTCTGCAGCAATAAAAGCAATTTAAATTATTTGAAAGAGTTTTTTATTTGTTTGTTTGTTTGTGATGATTTAGTCGAACTCCCTTAGATATTTAACTCTGAAATTTATTGATTTATTTAAGATTTTGGCAGATACCTACCATGTGTTTAGGCAAAATGGTAGGCCTACCACTTTTTAATATCGGATTTACGACGGTTAAGTCTCCAAAGGAGAAATGTGCGAGCGTCTAAACTTTATCTTGGTCATTAATACGCTCGACAGTGTCGAATTGGCTTTTGGTAACATTTTCACATTTTCTAAGATTTGAAAATATATAAATTGCTTTTTACGATGTGAGAAAAGAAAAACTAAAATGATAATATAATAACTATCTAATAAATTTTATGAAGTAAAAAAATAAATTATGATTTTAAACAAAAACCTCTTCAATCAATCTAATTGTTGGACAAATCGACCAATAAGCAAATTAGTAAATGTAATTGATTTGCACGTTCTCATACTTTTGCCTTGATTTTCGTTAATTGCTAGACTCCATTTGATATTACAAAAATCTCAGTAAAATCTTGAATTATCCAGTCAATTCACAAGAGATATAATAAGGTAAACCTTTTGGCCATTAGTTCAGAGATGAATAAACCGGCATAAATTTTTCCTTTACGAATGTCAATCGATATTTCAGTTATCATTTATTAGAAAAATAGCTATAAGATGATAAAATTAGAAAACGTTACAAAGAAAAGTTGGGAAGCACAATAAATAAAACTGAAAATGTAAAGTGGACGTTGTTATACGTCAGCAAAAACGCGACCAGGCGATTAAAACTTCTCCAATAAAACATTTTTTAATCTTTGTTTAAAGTCCTTGAAACAAACTCCATTTTTGTCTTGAATTTAGATAACGACACAAGGCATCCACTTAAGGTCAGCATAGCAAAATCAGACAGATGCAGTTGATTTAATACTTTGAAATATCCACTTTTGTTCAACACCACAAAGTCAAACATCGAGAGGTTATCTCGGGCGAACCAACATTTATGCTTTCTTTTCATTTCTTTTTATCCCAACTGTTTAGAATCGCCGTTCTTGCTGGCGAATAACCGTGATATGTATGTAGTTTGAGTTATACTGTTATGAGTAAATCTATAAAGAAAAATACGATGAATGAAGATGATAATAATTAAGAAGTCTTGATACTCATGCTAGACAGATAAATAGGCCTATCGAAGAGAACATATCCTTGTTTCCGTATGGTAATTAGAAATTTTATGGATTTAATTTCTTCTTTTTCATGTTACAGGTGAAACACAACACTTATCGAATAGTTGCATTTAAAAAGGATGATAAATGAATGATTGATTTGAGATATTGATCTACTGAATTATTATTCGTGAGGACCTTTACAGATGAAAAAGAACCCAGTCTTCATTGATTATTAATAAAACAACTATAAAAACGGATTCCAATTCTCGTACGTGGGGTACAGACATTGATTTGCAATGCAACCTGAACATTTTAAGTTATAAATCCATAACAGGGACGGATCCAAGATAATTTGAAAGGGGGTTCACGCGTGCGAAGCCGACCCCCCCCCCAACCCCACCCCACTTGGTGTGGGGTTCGGCCCGCTGAAGGGCCCCGGAAATTTTTGGTATTTTAGAGGGCGAACGGTGCCATTTGGTTCGGTTTAGAGCGATGATTCAGCTAGTCAAAATTCTAATTACAAGAGGTGACCAGAAATCAAAGGGGGGCTCCCACGTAAATTTGAAATTTGTCACCACCCACGTTTTACCCCCACGTTATGTGTAACGTTGCACCAACGTTACTTTGAACGTGGATCCCATGTTAACTTGTAAGAAGTTTGAACGTGGCAGCAAAGAAATATTGAAAGTAGATTCTACGTAAATTTGTAAGAGGTTTGAACGTGGAATACACGTTGCAGCTCCACGTTACCTATAACGTGGCAGCAACGTTACTTTGAACGTGGATCCCACGTAAAGTTGTAAGAGGTTTAAACGTGGAATACACATTTCACCCCCACGTTACCTATAACGTGGCAGCAACGCTACTTTGAACGTGGATCCCACGTAAAGTTGTAAGAGTTATGAACGTGGAATACACGTTGAAGCTCCACTTTACCTATAATGTGGCAGCATCATTAATTTGAACGTGGATCCCACATAAATTTGTAACCGGTTTGAACGTGGAATACATGTTGCAGCTCCACTTTACCTATAACGTGGCAGCAACGTTACTTCGAACGTGGCGCTCACATAAATTTGTAACCGTTTTTCACGTGGAATACACGTTTCACCCCCCACGTTACCTATAACGTGGCAGCAACGTTACTTTGAACGTGGTGCCCACGTAAATTTGTAAGAGTTATGAACGTGGAATACACGTTGCAGCTCCACGTTATCTATAACGTGGCAGCAACGTTACTTGGAACGTGGCGCTCACGTAAATTTGTAACCGTTTTTCACGTGGAATACACGTTTCACCCCCACGTTACCTATAACGTGGCAGCAACGTTACTTTGAACGTGGTGCCCACGTAAATTTGTAAGAGGTTTGAACGTGGAATACATGTTGCAGCTCCACTTTACCTATAATGTGGCAGCAACGTTAATTTGAACTTGGTGCCCACGTTAATTTGTTAGAGGTATGAACGTGGAATAGGCCTACACGTTTCAGTTTCACGTTACCTATAACGTAAGAGGTTTGAACGTGGTATACACGTTANGCAACGTTTCTTTCAACGGGGTTCCCCCCGGGGGGGGATAAAGGGTTTTTTGAGGGGGGGGGGGGGCCCGCAGATGCGAAGCCGCCCCCCCCCCCCCCCCCTCCTACTTCTCGTGGGGCTCGGCCCGCTGAAGGGCCCCGACAATTTTTGGTATTTTAGAGGGCGAACGGTGCCATTGATTCAGCTAGTCAAAATTCTAATTACAATAGGGGACCCCCCTGACCCCCTCCCTCTAAATCCGCCACTGCATAACTCCCCTTCCCAAACGGTCTGATTAAGACTTCTTCGATGTGATATTTTTTCTATAATGCAATTCATATCTCGTTGGTAATAAACACTTTTACAGTCCCCAGATATTGGACAAGAAATTGTATTTTAATCAGAAAAAAAAAAAACTGTAAAGAGGGGGGTCTATTTTGTCGTCATGAGCACTTCCTCGATTTTAAAATAAACAGTCAATACACGAGTATTATGCTGATGTTAAATTTGTTATAAAATATTTAGTAAGCTCTTAAAACAACATAAAGCTTTGCATCTAGAAAAGATCCATGGTATTTTTTTAAGTCGTGGACTTTTGTCGCCTTATCTACTTTCAGCAGGGTAACAGATTTAAAAGTTGTTTTAAGAAAACAATTTAAAATCCTGTTATTATCAGATTTTTGTTGTTCTACTTTCTTTTGACTCCCCTTGACCATTTTCTATTTGCGAACGGCTGCGTGTTCCACAGTTCGGTTGGTAGAATCCATATTTTAGTGACGTCATTTAATCTCAAGGGAGCCATGTTCTGTTGTATTTGTAGACAGGGACTGACACAGCGGTCGATATTTTCTCATTAAGGTGGGCTTTTGCTGAATTGCAGGTGAATATTAAAGTTGATTTATCGAGGATCGAATAGAAACTACTGAGCAAGCGCAAATCGAAGAATCTGACGGTGGTTGGGACTTTAGTATGAGTTCAAATTCACACAGAAACAACCGCACTTTGCAAGAAGAGGTGGAAATGTCGAACAGAAATCGCCCTAGCAGTGCCCAGTCAAGGCAAGCCTGGTCGGACGACGGGAGCGACCGCCCGGACTCACGCCAGGGACGCGATGGAGGTTTTCGGGAGGATGCCGATCTGGCTCTCCCCGCAGCAATGGAAAGCGACAACTACCTGAATACCGTCTGCGTCCAAGAGCGTGATGAAGTGGAGGTGCAAGATAACTCCAATGGTTGCTGGGCCAAATTCAAGAGAGGTGTCAGATGTAAGTTGTAAAGATCCTAGCATTTCCTACATTTTAAAATAAATATACACTGCTGTTACTGTGCCCCAAATTTTCTTGAATTTTTAGAAGAAACTTTTTTTTTTTGGGGGGGGGGGGGGGAGCTTAGTTTTGTGAACAATGCCAATGGTTTAATACGTTCTCTAAAACACCTCAAGAAAGATAATGTACAAAATAAGATTTAATGTTAGATAAAGCATCATGTTTTGATGGATGACCGAAAAAGAACATTTATAACTCATTGTGGGATTTTCATCGCTAGTGTAAAACATAAAACATTTCCATCCTAGATCTGACCTGTTACTTTGCTTGAAAAATTTATTGAAATTTTTTGTCAGGTTGCAGGTCAATGAAATATATATAAATATCAGTAGTATTATGTAAAAATAAATAATGCCAAGGGAAAAAATATGTATGATTTTATTTTGTGCTAAAAATGAATAAGTAAAAGTATCTTATAATTCTTTTTCCCGAAATTTTAATATACAGACAATTCTAACTTGCCAGTGGAAAGAAAAATACTGTTAATGTTAAAACATTGAAATATAGACAGTGGATATTTGTTCATAGCTGAACAGTATTTGTTAAAAGGAGATCAGAGTTTATCCAACTTTTTTTTTTAATTTGCTTGCTGCACTTATTAAGCCATTCCATTTGTGCTAAGAAAAGTTTTCACTAGTGATGCGAAAAGGTTTTTATTTACACATTTAGACAAACTTTGTCATAATTTATTGTGTTAAAGCAAGACCGAATCATCACATCATCAAGAAAGTTTGATTGCCAAATATTTGAATTATTAGCTTCATAAACATATAATACGTTGCACTATATGGACATAAGTTTATTACATAAAATCTCATCTGTGTTTACTTTAAATTACTTTTGTGGGAGTGAAGTAACAAAACATTTTTTCATTACAAAAGAACAAGCCGATTGAAAGTTGTAAGGGTGCGAAACAAATTACTTATTTAGGTTTATGCATATGAAGGCCTTCAAAACATAATAAGGTTTAAAGTTCTATTGAGATATTTACCATTTTTGGTGTATGGTTTATTATAGAAACTACAGACAGTAAATCCTGAATTGGGTTCACTTGATTAGGTTCCTTAAACAAATTGCTTTGAATTCAGATGTAAGGTTGTTGGGTTAATTGTTATTATATTTCAAAAATCATATAAACAAAGTATTTTATATGAATTTTTGCACCAGGGCATGTTTAACTTTCCATTCTTCATCAGTATGATAAAATTTTCTACAACCAAATACATTCTTTTCTTTTCTTTTATTTCGAATTTGTATATTTATGTGCTCATTATAAATGTTCTTAAAACTTGTTAATTATACTCCTGTACAAAATACTGAATGATTTATAAACATACAACTTTTATGGAATAAAAATTATTTACTCTTTTACATACTCTAAGATTATATTTTCTTGCCAGATTATCATTCACTACTAACTTCTTACATAGGTACAATGAAACTTAACATATTCCAATTAAAACTTCACATTTTATAGCTATTTGGCAAACCAAGGATATGCAGGATGAGGATGATGACAATAAGGACTTCAAAGTGGTCACAACCATACGAGAACTGGTCATTTATCTCGTATTCTTGTTGGTTCTTGTTGTTTGTAAGTAAAGGATACTAAATCCTGGACGTGCATGTGTTGATATTGTGTGTACTTTATTTTCCAGTTGTATTTATTTTGTTTTATTATATTTGTATTTTCTTTTTGATGTTGTCTTATTTAGATCCTGATATAGATCAACACAGAGGGGTTGTACCACCAAGCAGAGATTCACCTTTTGTTTATAGTGCATTATTATGTCTCTTGTGTTTTTATTTTATGGTTTATCTGTCTCCCTTAAAATAGCACTTTGGGCAACCAAGCACACTGAAGACACCAAGACTGATCGAGAACTCTATGTTAAAACCACTTTGAGAGAGCTGGTTATCTATCTTCTTTTTCTGACTGATTTAACTATTTGTAAGTATTTGTGATAGTGCATTTTAGTTTGTAAATATGTTATTGCACTTTTCTGTCCTGGATATATGTTTTTTTCTCTCATTTTAAATGGTCAATCTATTTTTTGTCACTTTTTTTTGTCTTGCAGTAGAAAATGTTAATATGTTGACATGTAACTTTTACAATTTAATGATTGTTTTTAGTTTAAAAAAAATTGAATTTAACCAATTTGCAAGTTGAAGTATTTGTACTTAGAACATGCTAATGCAATTTTTAACTCCCAAGCACAAAACACGTAACGTAAAAGTGAATTGAAAATTAGTGATTTATATAACATATTTAAAAAAGAGCATTAAAAAAAAAGAGTGGAATGAAGGACTAAATAAATGTGTTCCAAAAGCCATTTTGATGGCACAGTGTGTTTGGTAATGGCAAACTAGGTGGTGGTAGACTTGCACAGGAAAAAGAAGATCGATGTTACCTGTGTGCTTGACAAAATCAATATGCAATTAATACTGTGCTTGCTCACAGACCCTGGAAATTAGACAATGATACTGTTAATCCAAAATCAATTATTCAGAGACTGGCATAGAAATAATGTCTTTGTCAAACAGTTTCTATTCAGAAGAGGCAGTAGTTGCTACAAAACAGTTATATCTGTTTTAGCTATGATCATCGATTGTGCCGTTAATGTTCTGAAGTTTTACAGCCGTCAGCTTTGTAAAGTTTCTAGCTATTAACTTGTTCAGTAATTTGTCCCATGGTGTTCTAATTGCATATTTTGAAATTATAGATTATTGGAATGGCATGATGAATTATTGACCTTTACAAAAGGATATTGGTTATTAATTGTGAAAATCATTTGAGCTAGAAAATGTTTTTTTTTTTTTTTTTTTTTTTTTTTTTTTTAATTGGGCAAAAAATCCATAAATCATGACATTTCTTTTGGGATAGAGTTTTTGGACTTTTGCCAAAAAAAATTTTTTTTTTGGTCACACCTCTCTGTACGTCATGACATCAATGGCAGTGAAGTTAATTTGAGATACATGCAAGATATCCATTGCTTTTTAATTACTGTTAGAGTGCCAATCAATATAACTTCATTTCAAGTTTGCGTGCTTACAAGGAAATGACCAAATGAAAGTGCATAATTCAGTACTTTGTGGGAAATAATATCCTTATTTTTAACATAACCAGGAAATTTTATAGCAGTCTCTAATGGCATTACTAAAGTTAAAGCATACAATAACAATGAAAAATAACAAGACACGACACTAGAAAAAGTATTTGTTTTTTGATTTCATTAAAAATTTTTATCATAAAAACAAATGGTTAATTTATATAAAGCTCTTGTTTGGATATATGATTTTTGGTAAAAGGTAAATATAAGAAAATGTCTTAAAATGGTAGTTACATTGAATTTTCTCTTCCTTGTCTTGGCTACAGTTATTGTGATTGACTGATGGCCACTAAAAAGGCTATAAGGGCGAGTCCAGTATGCATGACACCGAGACTGAGAAAAAAAAACATGTAGAAAAAGAATTAATTTATTTATAATAATCAATTAACTAATACTTTCTGAAGTTATTATTATAAGATTAAGTTAATAAAATTCCTCATCTTTAAACCTTAGTGACCTTTGGCATGAACAGTGAGACTTACTACTACTACACTAAGGTGATGAGTGAACTGTTCTTAGATGGTCAGTTTGCCGACACCAAGAACACTTTCCGAGGAATGACTACAATGCAGGACTTCTGGAGGGTAAAGATATGCTTATATTTATACAGATTTGAGATTTTATTTATTGACATCAAGAATGATGGCATGTTAAATTAATGATATGAGGAAAATAGATGTATTGATTGTGGAATTTATAACAAAATGCAAACAAATAAATTAAAAGATTTTAAGTAATAAATCATGGAGGTAATTAAATTAAGAATTAAAGAAAAAAAATGAGTTGTCTTTAGTCTTATTTTACTTCTGCCTCAAATAACAGTCAACCAGTCACAGAAGTTGAAAACTTCATCATTACTATATGAATTGCTGAATTGCTCTTACACTACAAATGTCTAATAACATTTACAGTTTGCCGAGGGACCTCTGATGGACGGACTTTACTGGGAAAAATGGTACAATGGACAGAACGTCAGTGACAGCCAACTTGGATACGTCTTTCATGAGAACAAACTCCTTGGTGTCCCTCGCTTGAGACAGCTGAAGGTCAGAAACGACTCCTGTGAAGTTCATGATGACTTCAAGAATGAGATCAAGACTTGCTATGATGCCTATGCAGAAAGTATAGAAGACAAGTTTCCGTTTGGGAAAATGAATGGGACGGCGTAAGTAACCTTAATGTGAACATTCATAGTATCCAGCAAACAAAAAAATACTTATCTTTTTCAAATGTTTTTTCTTCTTAAAATCTTTTTCAAATGTTTTTTCTTAATTAAGAAGCTTGAGCAACATTGTGTACATTGTATGTGATGTCTTATTTTGTAAAGTTTCTCACTTGGCAAAAAAGGCATGTTGAATAAAAAACAGCACCTGTAATGTGTAAGTCATCTTTTTTCAGTTGGGTCTATCAGACCGAAGATGAACTGGATGGCTGGGGACACGAAGGTTTGATAAGTGAATACGGTGGAGGAGGTTTCGTCCAGAACCTCTTGTTGACCAGGGAAAAGACTGAGCCCATCATTGCTGACCTGAAACAGAACCTTTGGCTGGACCGTGGAACCCGAGTCGTCTTTGTAGACTTCACTGTGTACAATGCTAATATCAACCTGTTCTGTGTTATCCGGTAAGCTACTTTGATCTCAACAGATTTAGGGATAAAAAGCAGGTACCTGGTAAATGTTTTACATTGTCTAAAGCTTGCAAAAGTAACTGCACAGTAACTGTTCTAACGAGACCATTTGGTTAACTTTTGCAATTTAGCTCAAAATTATGAGAGAGAAAATCTGGTCTTTTAGGTGGCAATTAAAATGAAACAAGTGTCATAATACTATGTGCGCATTAAACAATTTTAAAGAACATTCTTTGTGTTTTGAGTTGTCTCTGACATTATGTTTTCACTGTTTTCAGACTGGTTGTGGAATTTCCTGCCACTGGAGGAGCTATTCCATCTTGGTCTTTCCGTACAGTCAAGTTGATCCGCTATGTGTCCATTGGAGACTACTTTGTACTGGCTTGCGAGGGCATTTTCTTGTTGTTCATCATCTACTACATCATTGAGGAAGCATTGGAGGTGAGAAATTTGTTAATGAACATTACTAATATTTAATTTTATACATTCTGGTTTAGAATACAAAGGTGATGGGATTTGACACATAAGGTAACAGAACTTTAAAGCTTGTGAATAAAATGCATTTCTGTTTGGCAAAAAAATGGTACTCCTTAAGATTTTTAACTTTGCATGATGTGTTCTACAGAGCATTTATCTTCATTTTCAGATTGCCAAGCACAAGTGTCAATACTTCAAGAGCGTCTGGAACATCCTGGATATCGTCGTGATTGTGATCTCAGTGGTCTGTACCGTGTTCAATGTGTATCGGACCATAGCAGTGGGGAACATGCTGGAATCGCTGTTACAGAAACCGGATGAATTTGCCGACTTTGAGTTCCTTAGCTGGGCTCAGGTCCTGTTTAACCAGGGCATTGCTTTTGCCGTCTTCTTCGCTTGGGTGAAGGTGTGAAAATTTGCTATAACAAGATTTATATATTTTTGTATAGAATAATCATTTCAAAAGGTATCAATACTGCATGACTACTTAACATTTTGAATAAATGACCACTTTCAGTAAGCATTATGAAAAATATTGCAAATATCTGTCTTGATATTTTGAAGGGAAAAATTCAATATTTTTCATATTATTACATCTAATTAAAATCTTGTGAAGTTAATTCTCTAATTACATATCACAAAACTGAGTTACTTTGTGTAATAAGGAAGTATATTGATGCACAGTTGTTACAATTTTTTCCAGATTTTCAAGTACATCAGCTTCAACAAGACTATGACCCAGCTCTCCTCCACCATTGCTAACTGCGCCAAGGACTTGGCAGGATTTGGTGTCATGTTCTTCATCATCCTGTTCGCTTTTGCCCAGCTTGGTTACCTGATCTTCGGTACCCAAGTCAGGGACTTCAGAAGCTTCCCTGACACCATGTAAGTGTCCACATTCATCAATTCTTCTTATGAGCCTTTTTATTTAGGTGCATAAAAATGTTATGTGCCATATTCAATAAAGCGTCTTCTTTTTGATGAAAAACCCAAATTTGCAGCAGTATTTTTATGGCCATGCATTGAATATTCTTACTATAACATGGAAGCGAACTGAAATTGAAAATTTTGTTGTAATTTGTATTCATGATTTAATATAATGTACTGTATATATATATATATATATTAATAATTTTTTTCAGCCTTACCTTGTTCCGTATCATCCTTGGTGACTTTGATTTCCATGAGCTGGAAGCTGCCCACCGTGTTCTGGGTCCACTGTATTTCCTCCTGTACGTGTTCTTTGTATTCTTCGTACTGCTGAACATGTTCTTGGCCATCATCAACGACACTTACTCTGAGGTGAAGGCTGATCTGGAGAACCAGGAGAATGAATTCGAATTGCAGGACTACTTCAAGAAGGTAAATCAGTAGGCTGAAAACACTTGGCAATGTTTTTTCATTACCTTCTGGCTGGGTATATCATTTTATTGAATCTTGGGTAAGAAATTATATAAAAAGCACTACTGAAGCAGACAACAAGGAGTTAAAGGGCTTATAGTGTTAAATTTGGATTTTATTGACAAAAACAAAATTTATATTTAAGTTTGTTTGTTTTCTAGGGCTACGACAAGATGTTGGACAAACTGAAGTTCAAGCGTGATAAGATCATTGACATCCAGAAGGCCATTGTTGATGCTGACGCCAATGCTGACAAGCAGATTGACTTTGATGAATGGAAACGTGACCTGAAAGAGTGAGTTGTCATATGTGGAAAATTTCTCCATAATGACTTTAAATTGTTTTTAAATTATGTTCTATTTCAATGACCTCAAAAACAGTTGTTAAAAAGTTTTTTCTTACAGATAGGCATCAAGATCAGATACTAATATGAAAGTTTATTTTCTTAGGAGTTGAGAGCAGGAAATTATATGTTTTCTATTTCTTTTCAGACGTGGTTATGCTGACAGTGAAATTGAAGCTGTGTTTGCCAAATATGACTTGAACAATGATCGTATGCTTGATGAAGAAGAAATCCGCAAAATGCAGGAAGAACTGGAAGGACAAAGGGTAGGAAATGATTTTTACCTAAAGATTATAAGAAGTTGTTTGTTGACAGTATATGGATAGTTCTATGAATCTTCATGTGCTAAATGTTTAAAGATACAGATGTAAAGATATAGATGTTTAAAGATGCAGATGTAAAGATATAGATGTTTAAAGATATAGATGTAAAGTAAAGATAATTAGAGAAAATATTTTGTTTTTCAAAAAAGTTAACTCCTAATCAAAATGGAAGTATGTCTTTTCAAATATAAACGTATTCTTCCTTTAGATGGCAGTTGACAAGGAATTTGAAGGTCTTGAAAACAAAGAAGGAGAAGCAGCAGCCAGACCAAAGAGTTCAGCCCGTCGCAGATCAGCCAGACCAGGTAGTCGGAAAGGAAGCAGCAGATTCAGTTTCGGAGACGACAGTGGTGATGATAGCGATGATGAAGACAGTGGAACACGATCAGGAAGAACAGGACGCTTTGTCAGTGGTGTATCATATGAAGAATTCACAGTCCTCTCTAGGAGGGTAGACAGAATGGAACATTCTATAGGCAGTATAGTATCCAAGATAGATGCTGTTCTTGTCAAATTAGAAGCCATGGAAAAAGCAAAATTAAAACGAAGAGAAACCATGGGGAAAATATTGGACAGTATCACAGAGGTAAATTTCAACACTGTGATTTCCTTCTTTTGTAAAGTGAAAAAGTAATATATCTTTTCACCATTTCATCCTTTGTACAACCATTTATTGTTTGTACAGCCTGTTCAAGTGAACAAAAGTCTTTCAAGATTCTCTTTGCTTTTCTTTGGGGAAGCTGCTCCTTTTGAAAATTAAAAAATTTGAGGTTTCTGTGATGATTTCTATAGATATTAAAATTTGTGCCAATTGGTGGAATTATGCGACAAGAGCATTCTTACATGTAATTTTACATTGACTTTTCAGTCTGAGGGTGTAGGGGATGATGAAAAGCGTGACCAAATGGAAAAACTTGTCAGAGAAGAACTTGAGAGGTGGGACTCTGAGCCATCCATCCAACAGAGTGGCCGTGGTGCCTCGCCACGCTCCCCACCATCTGGTGTAAACGTAAGTTATTTTACATCACTAGCTGAATTAAACTAATTTTAATATTTAAAAACACATATAGAAAATTCATCTACCCCCTTGAGATAAGGGATTAAAATGCAGTTTGTATAAGGATGAGAAAAAAAAAAAGAAGAGCTGTGTTTAGAAATTTGCATGGAACTGTAGATGAATAATAACATTTATATATGTCAAAGTGGAATTGTATGTGAAAGTTTACACAGTCATTATTATTATTTACATGCAGTCATCTGAAGTGTAAACATGACAAGGTAACATAAATGTGATTTTTTTAATGTCTTGTTTTGATGTCTGTCATGGTTACTCTTATGAATGTCTGTTTCACCATCACTGGTAGGATATTAATTAATGCATGTCTGTTATTAAAAAAATTTTCATTTAAGTGTTTTGTGCTTTTTGAGTAACTTCATTTGCCCAGCAATAACACTTATCTGTTATTATAGATCTACTTTTCCTTTTTTTAGGACACAGACCAAATGGGATCACACAATGTGTAAAGAATAAACGGACTTTCAATTATTTTTAACCCCAGCAAAGATACCAAGTAATCTCAAGAACTCCAAAGAACTATTTATTTTGTTTTTAAAGCTTTTTTTATTTGCATTTAACATGTTAGTATTATGCAGAGTATTGTGTGCATTTAACTTGATGGATATTTTCTTATTACGAGATGTTACTACTTACAACTCAAGTGATGTCAGGGAAAACAAAGTAGTCAAGATGATATGTTTAGTGGCAATAGCATCTATTTACTTGCCAGTGTAATTCAGCATTTGTGTTCGACTTAAAAAACTTAATTGTATATTATTAATTTCTTTGAAATTCACGATTTTGAAGTTTTATCTAGATTTAGCTGGTCTAAATTAGATACACGAGATATTTGCCAACATTCTCATTCTCAAACAAACTTGACTCGTGAATTTTGAACCAAAATTTTTTTAATACTTTCTTTCAAAACATTTTTGTAGAACTGCTTTTTAGTTCTGTATTGTATCAAACAAACTTCAGTGATTTAACTGAAGTGCAAAATGAGCTAAATATTCACTGCACATCTCATTCCGTCCTTACAGTAGGCTATGCTGTACTTAACGTTAGTGTGAATTGTATTGGACTAATTGAAGGCCAAGTGAGTTTTGCACCAGTGTAGCAGCACAAAGCTGTTAGATAATCGGCATTGGGTTAAGACAATCGCAAACAATGTAAATATAACCCAGAAACATTCAAGGCTTGAATTGAAGGGATTTTAAGTTCAAAGAGGTTGGACAAGGGACCAAAACTAACAACTGCACCGTCCAAGTAAACAATTACAAAGAGCATGGTTACACTTTGATATGTTTTAATAAATGTGGAGGGACCAAGAAGTGTTAAAAGATCTTTGGCTGGATTCAGTGCATTGCATGTGAAAGTTTCACTCCAAATTATTGCACATTCTTGTCCACTTAATACTTTTGCCAGTTCTGTTCACCTAATTGTATGAATGCAATAAAATGTTTTGTCAAAGCAACAAAAGTGTTAAAGTTTATTTACAAAACCTTGTGACTTTTTCAAAATGAATTATTTTTGTAAAAAAAAATTATTTCAGTTATATCACTCACTATACACACTTTCAAATGGTGTTTTCTAACTAAATTACATTCCTTTATGAGGAAATTTTCATTCTTTAAAAAATATTTAAAATGACCAGGTTATATTTCTTCTTTATAAGTGACATTCATCTTATCATTAATTACGTGCCCATGAAGTTCACCAAACTAACCAGCAGCCAAAATCATTTCTTAGTTTGCATATAGCTGCTAACCAGTCCCAGATAGCCAATTTTCTCTTGAAATCATGACAAGGAATTGCAATTTTATGCCAAATGAAATAAAATTGAACCAGTGACTGTTATCAATCCTATGGTGTTTTATTTTCTTTGCTGTTTCTTCCCTTTAAAGTTCTTCCCTTTTCCAGTTTTTCGAAACTTATTTCCATTTTTCCTTGGACCTCTTTGCTCTCTGTTAGATCTGTGTATTGACTTTTTGCTCTTAGTCTTATCCATACTTCCTTTACTTTTGTTACTTGAAAACTGTTTCTGAGGTTTTCTCTGCTGTCTACTGTTGGTTTCAATTTTCTTTCTTTTCTCTGGAATGTCCGTTTTCATCTTGCGTTTTCGCTTTTGTCCACCAACAGGAAAAAGATCTGAAAATACAAGATTTTATTGAAATAAAAAAAATTATTCTGACTCGCATCCTTATGTTGTCATTGAAAGTAAATTCCTCAAGCTATGGTAATAAATATAAAGCAAGATTCACAATATTAACCAATTTGCAAATTAAACGTTTGTTCATTGCATGTTTTATTTATTCCATTCTTAAGCCTGATAAACTGGTGTAAACAAAACCTAATGTATACTGCAAATAAACTGGAAGAAGTCTTCCGGTAGTCAACAAAACTCTGTGTCTTCCTGAAGAACTCGGTTTCACATTTAATGAAATAATTTAGATTAACGTTTTTAGGAAAAGAGGAAAATTAGAACCAATTAGATGTGTACTGTCCATCTATAACTGAAATGGTGAATTTTAATGACCTAAATTACTAAACATAAACTCAGAGAACATGTTTACCTGGATCTGGTGCTGAGCCAAGTTCTTGTTTATAGTATTCGACATCATCTTCATCACTCATCTCTTCAGCATCTGAAATTGCAAAATAATCTAAACAATATTATAAATCATACTTTACTAAATTGTGTTTAACTAGACTCAAGTTGGTGTTTTTGTAGATTTCTCAAAAACACCCTTTAACCTTCCATAGACAAGTTGTCAGTTTAAAAAAAAAAGTTACTGTTATCAAGTCATAAAAATTTTTTTTACGCTGCACTATGTTAACAATTCCTAATAAAGAAAGAAAAACCTTGTCATTACACAAACTATGAAAATAATGTGTAGCAGAACACTCATTATTTACTCCTTAAACATCAATAAACCACAATAAATCTAGAATAAATGCTACTGAAAAAACAAAACAAAAGGATGTTATTATCATGATGCATTTACCTTTGCTTGTTTCATTGTTTTTCTCTTCTTCCTTGTTCTTGTCCATCCCAGCTAAGCACTTTTCTTTGTGTCCTTCTTTCTCTTTTTCTTTTTCCTTTATCCTCTCCATTTGTTGTTGCTTTCTTTTCAATTTAAGTTTTCTGTACAAATTTTAAGACTGCAGATTAATCTTTGAATCAATTGCAACCTTCTACAAGCCTTTACATCAATAAGTTAAAATATAAGTGAGAATCTTATTGTTTGACAAAAATTTTAGTGCTTGATAAAAATTTCTTAGGAAGCTTACATATTACACAGTTGTGAAAAATATACTATAAAAAAGAAGTGGCCTAAAGCCTAAGGAAAAAGCTGGATGCCTATAAAAAACAAAGATGTCTGCAATTCACTACATATCCTTTTTTACAATTTAAATCACAAACCTCATCTCACTTACTTTTTATGTTCTCGGAACTCCTTTGCAGCTTGGATTTCCTTTTCTGTCTTTTTTACAAACCTATGAAACAAAACATCACCACTGCACATGCCATCCTCAATCTTGACTAGTTGCAAAGTCATCCTTGGACCAATCTCAGTCAACCTACAATTGTGGAAAAAATTATAACAAAAATATCATTACTAGCTTGATACCAGTACGTGAGCAGGGCTCAAAATAGCCCATTGCCTGTCATAACTGACTTTCTAAGAAGGCAAGACCCTTTTTAATGCCAGTTATGGCAAACATAACCCCCCACCCCTAACAACAAAGTCATGATCACTTTAAAAGTAAAATCCATAAAAAATCTTGTATTCTCTAACCTAAATGAACAATTTCCATGTAATAATAGCAAATGTTCCACCTCATTTTTTTTCACTGCCATCCTATCAAAAGTATATTTACCTGATTGCACTCTGAGCAGACTTAATGTTTCCTCTACTGGACATGTGCTGTGGTAGAACCACTTCATTATGAGGACCATCCATCTCAGCTTCACTCTCAGAAAGATTGCCGCCACTAAATCATCAAGTACAAAATTATTATGCTGGTTTTGGCGAAATGTGAGCATTTTATTCGCATTTAATCTCTTAAGTTGGACAAAATTAAATTTACAGATAATAAAAGAGTGTGAAATCTTAACTACTTGTGTCTAAAGTAATACTCGTCCTGGTCTCGCATACAAATTGTGATAGGAGGATTGCTGTTGCATCATGATTCATGCTTTAAAGAATAGCAAATAGTAGTCATAAACACATAAAGAACAGAGAGAAGAACAATTGTATTACTTCATTCAAAATTATAACAATAAATAAAAATATGTAATATTCTTATTTTTTATTTTTGAAATAAACCCTCCAAGCAATTGAGTTCACTTGTTTTATTACAACTAATGTAATTTTTCATCATTCTAGCCCTAGCCTGTCATTTCAGGACAATCCCATTAGAAAAGGTACATTACCCAAGAACAAATTCACTGACATCATCAAATCTGCTCATGTTGGGAATTTTTGCTTTGATAAGTTTCTTCACTGCTCTGCCCATCCCCACAGGAACCACCTTGATGTTACTGAAATAACACAGCAATATGAAGTAAAATCCATCAGATATATTCTTTTGGATGGAAAGAAATATTTTTACAGATCAAAAACCTCATGTACAAACTGAATTAATGAAGAATCACACCACAGACTTTGCATTAAAATAAGCAAATCTGAAATAAAAAGAATATCAATAATCAACTAACCTTAGATAAAGCAAACATTTTATCTATTTGTTTCAAACTGCAGGTTTTATACAGAACTTATATACTTGAATGGCCTATCGATAGAACCCAATTCTAATATTGAAACTGTTGCCACAGATTATATATTTATATCCAAATCTTCCTGTAGATATGTTTTTGTATCATTCTATGCACAAGTGTACTGTATATATCTAGAGGTAAAATCTTTAGATGTACTTACTAATGTCTGAATTCGATAGTTTCATCTTCTTGGTTATAATTGAATAGTACACATCTTCTTATGTCATTCAACTTCACCTTAAAAATAGTATAAATTGATAATAAAAATTGAGAACAGACTGGATTACACATAGGAATAATTTCTATTTCAGGACCTTTTACTGAAAAAGCTGAATTTTTCTGACTTATTTTTATTTGCGTGTGTGTGTGTGTGTGTGTGTGTGTGTGTGTGTGTGTGTGTGTGTGTGTGTGTGTGTGTGTGTGTGTGTGTGTGGGAGGGGGGTAATAAGTGAACATACGTTTCTAACTGTTCAATAAATGAGATCAGTAATAATGTAAATGAATTAATCATTTCTATACATCTTAAATTTTGCACATCAGTGCACTCATGACAAAAGCAGAATTCATGTAAACAACACGGTTCTCCATTTGGTGTAAAAAGCAATTTTGTTCTAAGAGGATTGCAGATATATTTACCTTGGTAACATTTATAGAAGGGAATAAATTCTGAAACATGCTAGACATCAATTTAAGATGAACACCTTCTCCTGTAAAATTATTCATCACCAACAATGGATGTAGATTGAATTGCTTTGGGTCCATATTATGTCTCTTAAGAGAAGAAACAACATCTTTACATAAACTGAACTTCTGGACTTGGAAAGTCAAAGTGGGTCCTCGGGGTAGGCGTGTCACACGCAAGTTTGTTGAAGTTTCAGACTTCGTAAACATGAGAAGATGAGACACGTTAAGGGTTCCAGCTATCGTCACAAAATCCTTCAGCACATTCTTCCTTCTTGTCTGGAAAAAAATTTTCATAAGTCACTTTAATAGTCCCTTAATGGGCCATATGAAGCGAGAAAAAGTGCTATAAAGTTTTTGAAATGACATCAGAATGGTGTTTAAAATAATTTATCTAAAATAGTTTATCAATCAATTTACCTTCTTTCACTAAGACATGAATATCTATTGAAAAACAATTAAGTTCAGATTAATTATAATGCACAGTATATGCTTTCCACTGGCAAACTGAAGATATTTATAACATTTATATGTATGTTTAATTATAGAAACTATAGAAATACCTTTAGTTTTGAAGCTGTATAGGGTGACATAACTCTCCTCATATCAGTAATGAGTTCTGACACATTTTTTCCAACATGTCCACGATTTATTACAAAGGAATGAGGAGCTTTCTTATAATGCTCTTCAGCATTCTGCGCCTGAGACTGCTTGGTCTTCTTGGTTGCCTTTCCCTGATGAATGATGGATGACGAAAACGTATGTGATAAGTAACATTCGAGCTAACGTTATATATATATATATATAACGTTTTTAAACATAAACTTATATAAAGGGCCATAACAGGTAAATAATAGGAATTATAATTTCTCATCTTCAAGTAATGTCTACTAAGAAACAGTAATACACGTGTAAATATGTTCTTGGAGCTACTTAAATTTCGGAAATAATTTGGATATTTACCTTCTTGCGCTTTCCCATGACTATTATACGCAGTGACAGAGAATTAAGGACACAATGATGTACACAGTTTTGTAAATCTCTAGCTCAAGACGATCGAGCAAGACTCCTCGTGGTGGCTGACATGTTGGACTGATAAAAATTGTGGAACGGCATAATTACTTCCGTGCAAATGTTTGTTAATTCTGAATGTTAACACTGTCAGAAAACAAAAACAATAAATCAAATAAGAAATGATAAAGTACCATGCTATTATTTTGTGCATAGTGTATTTAGTCAAAATGTCACAGATTTAAAATATTTATATTATCCCTTTCCGATAAATTCCCGAAGTGCTACATAACCCAGCAACCAAGGATGGCTTCGGCAGGACCAGCAGTGGACATGGAGCTGAAAAAGGCATGTTTATCCCCTTGCTAAGCACATAACTTTGCATACATATGCAATAAAATCTCTTATAATTGATAGTGTTCTGTAGTGTATTATGTAGATTGATCCAGATCCAATTGAATTGGCTATTTTATCCTGTTAACGCGTGCATGACCAAGACTGACATTTGTAATTTAATTTCTTATTTAAAATTATCATAAAGCCAAGTAAGATTTGCTGTGAAATTTCATAATGTACACTTCTTTCACTATATTAAATCCATTTTAAATACCAAGTTACATTTCAACTGATTAACGATGATCAAGAAGTGTATTTACAGTATAACCATGATTAGATATATTTTTGTCGTTGATTGCTGCATGGTTTAGTTGTGTTAATATTTTAATGGTGTTATATTTATGTTTTTAAGGCTTTCCAAGATCTGCAGTCCAAAATGATACAGACCACTCAACAGCTGAAAATGTCCGACATGCAGGTTGAACAGCTCAAGCGACAAATTCAGCACTCTAAACTAGTAGAACAAGAATTAAAAACATTACCAGAAGGTGTAAACACTTATGAAGGAGTTGGAAGAATGTAAGATATCTACCTATGTTAATGCATTTTTTTTTTGCATTCAAATTATCAGATAAATAAATAGATGAATAAATAGATAAGCAAAAACAAAGGCCCTGTACTAGTAGTAGTAGTAGTAGTAGTGCAATATCAAAGTATTCAATCATTAGGATTAAACAAACATCCTTGAATAAAATGAGGATAAGGCTGTATTATGGAATCTAATTTGTCATAATTCTCAGATAACAAAGTTACTTTTTTGAGCACTGATTAAAGATAATTTAATAAATATTATATTTAAACTATCTGGAGTTGTTGCCATAGTATCACTATTTGAATTCTTATTTCAGGTTTATCTGTCAACCAGTGGAAACTATTAAGTCAAATCTTGGAGAGAAAGTAAAAAATGCAGAAGCAAAAATTAAAACCATTGAGGTAATGGAAGGTTGAGAATTACGAGGACAGTTCTGTTGTTTTAATTGTGGTCTAGTAAAGATGTAAAATTATCTGATACCCCTATCATAGGCATATATTTATCAATATAGATGTGTAAGTATAGCTTTTAACTTTGTGTTAAGAATGTTAATTATTTTTTTAAGTTAAAAAGAAAATGGACCCCTATGCTTGTTAAAGGGGGATATCACTTTAATTTCTCTTTCATACTTTGGTAAATAGGTGTAGGTTATATGTTAGAATTTTCAGTAGGAGAAAGTAATGCAATATTTTCTTTGTAAATTTACAGATTTATCTTTTATTTTATTTTGGATTTCAGACTAACAAACAGTATCTGGAAAGAAGTATAAAAGAAAGTGAAGACAATCTAAGGGAATTAGTTTTGTCAAAAACTGGAAGACATTAACCTTTGCATGTGTTAAAGGCACATTTCTGCTTTGCTGTTTTATATAGACTATATTATGTATGCAACATAAAATAAAGGAATGTATAATCGTTAAGTGTGCATGTATAATAAATGTATGTTTGTAAAGTACTATTGTGTCACTACCTATGTGTCACTACTTGGCTTTAAATAGATTTAGAATAGTGAAATAAAAGAATAAGAAAAAAGACAATAGCTAATAAGGATGATGATATGGTGGATATTTTCTTCCATTTGTTAAAAAGAATTGTTGGGTTACGTCTCTAATAAAAGTCATTCATTTATGATGTGTAACATGTTTGATGTATTAGGAATGCTGACATTAAAACTTTGTTTATAAGTGTTTATATTGTAACCATCTGGTTAATCACCTATTAGACTTGGATTAAATCATCTTCATTCTTGATCCTTTAATCTGAACACAATTCAAGCATGTGAGGATCGCCTTTGTGCATGCCTGTGCAGTAAAATTCTTAGAGCTTACAGAGTACAGTAGTTGTTAGATCTTGACATTTAAAAAAAATGTCACTGAATAAAATCCCACGGTATGGCAGAAATAAGAGATTGATTGATTTCTGTTTTTGTGTTTTATTGGCAAGAGTTTTTACACCGTCTTCTCCCCTACCTGAAGGTCTTCTCTAGCACATTTACATTTCGGTTTGTCTTTTCCACGATGATGTGCAGCGCCATCTAGTGAGTAAAATATTGTAAACACTATCACGTGTTAGGCATGAGCTGGAGTTCAGGGTGGTGACCCAAAATTTGGGCCAGCCTAATCTATCTGTATTCCTTGGTCATTATTCAAGCGAGTGTGGCCTTAATGCAGGTCATGGGGGAGAAGTTGGATACAGAGAAAATTCAACATATTTTGCGCAAATGTGCTCCACTTCCTGGACTAGAGGTGATATGTCACATTAGTTTGTAAACAGCTAGGGAAAGGGAAAGGAATAGTGTAGGGTGGTGGCGATGTAAATTGTGGATGGCCTCTCCTCGTGGTGTCTGTCTGTCACACTGTGTACATTTAACGGGCTTAAATATGTGTGGACTGAGCTTTGAATCGGGGAAATTTGCCCC